ACAAATCGATACTTTATGTTGTGAACTTCTTTTTTTGTTTCTTCGATCCTGCTGGAAGTTAGAAAGATCGCAGTGTTGAATCTCTTCCTCATAGCATCTGTGGCTGTGGTTGTCTTTTATATACGGTTTATGACACTAACAAGACTGCTGTGTTCTTTCCTTTGACTCTGCCGAGGGAGGGGCGGGGGTCACCACAGGTGAGCAGAAAGAAAAAGAGACCTAGACCTCTGCACTTCTTTGAGAGCTTTAAAACATTAACACTCACGCAGTTCGTAAATGCTCTGACTGTTTTCCCACATTACTCACCGGTTCTGTTGGAGATGGGTCCAGATTTAAAAATGAAAGAAAAACAGCAAAGACTGCGCCTTGTGTGTGTGTGTGTGTGCGCGTGTGCGTGCGTACACTCTCCAGGGAGTATTACAGGCTGCAGCAGTTTGCAGTAATAGGAAATGCGCTGTGAGCTTGAACTTGCTCCCTCGATGAAGTTGATTCACAGAAATCAGGCCTGTTACGTTGTTGCTCAACCAGTCAGACATCTGCTGAATGTTTTTTCTTCTTCTGTTTTTTTCCCCTCCACAGACACACATGGTTCCTCAAAGATGCTCCTAGTCAGGCTCTCATTCATATTCACACAATAAATTCTTCTCAATGAGTCACTCTCTGCGCGAATGTTCACCAACACACACACCCAGAGTGAGAGTGACTGATAGCATTAGTTGTTGCACATCCGGTGCAGTTTTAACTCGCATTTGTAAATTAGTCTGCAGCTGCAGTCAATCTGCCTGTTGCTTTCTTGATTAACTGCATGCCGTGTTAAATGATAAAAAAACAACAACAACGTACAAATGTCTCTCTTCTTCTTTTTTGGGGCTGCAGATGCTCAGACTCTAGTGCAAAGCTCAAATATAATCTCTTTAGATCATTTTAAGTAGAAAGAAGCTGACAAAATGATAAAGAGATATTTTATTCTTCCTTTGATGAGCTGATGATATTCAAGCCACCGATTTATCACGCATCCCTGCTTTGGCACGATGCATGAGGTGGCGTAAAAGAGGCTGAGGTTGAGTCAAACAGAAAAACAAACAGAAATGTGGCACATAGATCAGATTTCAGATAGATCAAAGAAGGGGTATCGGAGGGGTCACATGTAGGTACGCACTCCCAGATAATCATCACCTGAATCCTCTGAGCTTTACAGTAAGTTTCACCTCATTGCTTGGCTGCCCAGGCTCAAGCTTTACTGTTGTGGTTCATTATCGAGGTGAGCTCTACAAATCCCCCTGCTCAGTGCTCAGCACCGAGACAGTCAGCGACTCACCGATCCACACTGAAGTATTTAGCAGATATTTCCCTCGGGAGTTGGTAGAGACCAAAGGCAGAGCTAAGACAGAGTGAATATTGAATTCAGCAAGACTTGAAATGAGCCATGATGTTGGCTCTGTGGCTGCCAGATGTGTTGGTAGCAACTGACCTATAAGGTGATGTTTAAAACTTGTGTTCACTGCCCCCAAGTGGCCAAAGAAAAGCAGGATTATTCAGTGCACAGTTTTGTCACTTCTTATTTCTAAATTAATAATCCATTTTTTAAACTTTGATTAATATTAGCTTTCAAACTCAGCTTCCAATTTGTTATCAGACAACATGATTATTTTCATACGAATCTTGTAAAAAAAAAATAATTTTCTTGCATTGTTGTTTTTCTCTTAGACTGTATATTTATGTCATCTTTCTGGCTTTATCTCAATCTTTCTACAGGGGAAATTATTAGAAAGCCTGAAACTTGTAACGCTGATGTAAATTTCTGTGAACATACTCGACTGAAATACAGCTGCGGCAGCAATTTGGTGCGAGCTCCCTTTAATCGGTTCCTCTTGCACTGACTCAGGTTCTCTAAATGAGTCACATCCTTGACCTGTCTGCGTCATTGTGCTTTTTAGTGATAATATTAGACACTGTGGTTGAAACTCATAGCATTAAGGGTTGTGAGGGAGAAAGGTAACTATTCTTTTGATGAGTGCGCTCCTGTGTTGTTTTATGCGTGTGCAAAAGATTAACATATGCATTCCTCGGGCTCATGCACTGTCACATGCGCTCAAACTCATGCGGTGCACAAAGCAGTGGAATTTGTCCTCCCTGCACTTTCTTTTGCCCTCCGTTCCTCCCTCTTACCCACCCACCCGATGCCGTGTCTTTTACTGTCTTGTCTGTTTCCTTTCGCTGCTTCTGCTCTCTCACGGTGCTGATTTAGTTAGCTTCCATTATTGTGCAAGTCTGTTTAATTACACAGTTTCACTTCGCGGGCAATTTGATGCTCTTCGTCTGGCTGGTGATGTGCTTTTCACAGGAACTGAACAGATCATGTGAAGAAATGCTTCACAGCATGGACTACACCGGAGTTCACTTAGTTGTGACGCATTTATTAAGGCACTTGCAGCACTAACTGCTGCACTTCGGAGATCCACTTCGTCTTGCAGTTCGACAGCATGGCTGACAGAGAAAACAAGCAGATACAAATCACCATTTCTGGTCAAAACGTTAAGACAAAAAGCTGAATTTAATGCACAGATGCAGACAGTCATGCAATCTGGAAACCCACAGGCTAACTTCTCGCATTGGCTATGAACACAGATTAATTTGATAAAGATAAATTGATGTCAGTGCTTTTGAGATTACATTTCTGCGTGTGCACTATTTACCTTCATGCAACCAATGCTCCCTTAAATATGTTTGCTTAGTATTTAAATGCACTGGCATTTATATAGCAGTATTTACCACTCAAAGCACCTGCAAGCCACATTTAGCCATTCAGTGCTTTCTTTTGTACACTTCACACACCTTATCTAGTTCTCATACCTGAAAAATTTGGAATCATCAGTAAAGCCAACATGTATGTCTTCTGAGCCGAAGGCCGAAGGAGAACATGCAAACTCCACACAGAAATATAACTTGGATCGTTGCAGAAATCTTGTCCCTTACATGAGACAGATTCAACAATTTAGGATTTGCGTTTTGAAACGTTTGTCAAACACAGCTGGGTGTGACAGATGTTAGCTTGGACTGAGGGGAGTTTGCGGGCCACACTTTTTAATAATTGTCAGATAAATCGATAAGGTAAAGAGTCACGAGTTGTCACTATAGCTTGTGATTACGTTCACTCTTAAATTTTGCTCTTTATCTCCAATTTTGGATTATTGTGAAAATAATCAGAAGTTCAATCCAGAACTTTGCTTTTCTCATATTCTGTTCTGTATGACCAAGTTTGCACTCGCACACATGCAGTAACAGAAACTAGTGATGAGAGCCGTGTTCTTCTTCATGACGCCTGACTACTAAATGTCAAGGTTTGACAGGATTTGACATTTCCAGTTGTCAAACATGAAAATACTGTATGCAGCTGACACGCTGTAGTTTTTAAACTTTTCATAGTAGCTGCTGATGTTCTTGTCTACATGTGTTTCTCTCAGTTGTCACTCAGCCTTCGTTTCAGCAGTGACTTCTGTCCCAGACATGCCGCGGGCACTTTACACATGGCTGACTGAGTCATTCGTCCATGCATGTGTGTTTGTTTATGCCGTTGGCTCTGTTACCACTCGTTTGGATGTAGGGGTTCGGAGGCTCTTCAGAGCTGTTTTAGTGGATTTTTTGTGTGTGTATCTGTTCAGCATTCTTTAAAAATAAATTTTTTCCCCCAAAAATGTGTCTTCGTGGATTGTTTTAAAAAATAAAAACTAAAGCGAGGTCCAGTGCAAACTGCTCCAGGTAAAGTATGTCACAAGTCAGCAACAGCTGTGTGGAGTCATATGAAAGCAGCCTGGGATGGAGTATTTTTGCTTTCAAGATCCTTTCGCATCATCATCCTTTTGTCCAGCTGGCTTCAGGTTCACCTGACTGGGAGGGGATTTTGAGAAGTTTAAAATATGTGTATTTTTTAATAATAATAATAATAATACTAATACATTTTCTTTGAGGGCGCCTTTCAGAAACCCAAGGTCACCTTACAAAAAACACAATTAATAAAAGGAACAGTAGTCATAAAATACATAAAATAAGTTACAATTTTAGTATATTGAAGCCTGGATCCTTTCTGGTTTTGTTGGTGGTTAATAAACTCGCAGTGTCATAAGTTCATGCTGAGGGCCTCGGGTCAAACAGCCACCAGAAAGCCCCTCATATCTCATTTAGGTTTCTTCAAACACAGCCAGCCTTCAAGCCCCGCTGCGGGAGCTTGCGTCACGCTCGTTTGTGTCCCGTGGTATTTTTAGCCTAATTGGTCAACATTAAAATAAATCTACAGAGGTGATCGCACAAGTGCAAACTGCCTCTAATCAAAATAGAAAAAGGCCCCAGTGCACAAACGAGTCCTTACTTGGCAGCCTTCTTAAATGTTACCCATGACAGCCAGATTGAGCTGAGTAGTACACAGTGTTGCATGACATCGTTTTTTGGGGGGCAATTTCCTGTTTGGAACAGTCTCTACTTCTCAGAAAAGGAAAACCAAATGAGTAACAAATCTACACAGACCATGAAAGTTTGACCACTGCACGCTTTAAGCTAAGTTAAAGAAGACGTTTGCGTGGAAAAAATGTTTCCATTTTGTTTAAAAGACGATGGGCTGATTGTGTTTTTCTTATAATACTTGAGTGTTGAAATGTGATGTATGTCACCGACACATCATCTGCTATGCAAAAACAATGGAGGTAAAAGGATTTTCTTTGAAAAACCAGGCTTCCTCGTACACTACCTGCAGCAACCCTGACCTGTTTCTTTCAAAGAATTTGGCACATGCTCATATCTGATGACTCATTTTGCACTTTTGATACTTGCACAAGCCCATTTAAAAATGTGTTAAAGATTATCAGGCCAGCTTATGAGGAAGGTTGACGGCGTGCATACAATTGTGAAACCCTTTTTTTTTCTCCGTTTCTTTCCCTTTTATGTGTTCATCAGAGGAATTACTCTCATGTGTCAGACGCTAATTATGTACTCACTGTGTGTTTCAGGCCTCCAGTCCCAAGCTGACGACTCACTGCTCAGATATCCAAGAGGTCCGGCGTTGCAACCGGCTGGAGATGCCTGACAACTTTAACACGTTTGTTCTAAAGGTTTGTACACGATTACAGCTAAATGGAAAAATGATGCTTCCTAAGAGAAGCTGTAGTTTGGGACTCTGACCGCTGAGTTGTTTATATCCAGATTGCTTAGATCTTCACCGTTCAGCCAGAACAGGATAAACACTGTCATTTCAAAACTCACAAAGTGGACTGACAAAGTAGACGTTGCTGGTTTGAAGTGAAACGATATTCCACCATAAAGTCTCTTTTTTTTACCCACCAGCTGCTCAGCTCTCCATCAAACATAAACCCACTCAAACAGACAGCGGTGTTGCTGCACTCCAGCCGTTTTTTTTTATTTTATCTGCAGCGATATTTGAATGGCATTTTGTTTGTTTATCGAGCACATTCGTGCACAGCAGAGGATTACAGCCTTTGTTCACAGCGAAGAAGCAAACTACAAAGTTTTCACAGCCACAGGAGCGAGTATTTGATAGCGGTTTTGCACATCAGTGGTGAAAAGTGTTAACTTTCACTGTTGTCTTCTTTTTTAGTAAATTTAACAAAAAGCTCTCATGCCTTTGTTTTTTATTTCAAAAGTTCTGCTTCACCCAGAGGCTCTTGATATTGATAGTATCTCTCCTTACCAAGGAAATGCTTTCCTGTAGCAGGTGCAGGCAGCTTTTCTTTGTTTTTAATTGGAGCACAGTAAGCACACCTTCCCTCGAGCTATTTGCCTTTTTAACGGTAAACCTTTTGAAATTTAACAGAACATTTTGTTATGAGGGTTTTTTTTCTTCTTTGTACTTATTAAATTGCGGTGGTTACATTAGTATGCAGTGTTTTATTGCCCTGTGCTTTCCTTCCTGTTACACTATTAATTCTGTTGTAGTGAAAATAAACGAAAAAGCTCTAAGTAAGTGCAGAGGTTCAGGGCATTTTATGCATTTGCATCATGTCCATTTTGTGTAGCCTGTTTTTTTTTTAAGCATCTTTATCTCTGCAGGTTAATCGAGGTAGCCTGATATTTGAGACGGACAACGAGCAGCAGGTCAGCTCCTGGACCACAGAGCTAAAAGAGTGCATCAGCAGCAGGTGAGAGATGTGTAAACACAAAACAAGGACAGATGTTTGTGTGATCTGACTTACACGTGTCTCATTTCTTTACTCGTTCTTTGTTTTTATGAGTGTAAATTGACTGAAGATCGAATCAAAAACTAAATATCACACAAGAGACTCAAAGTATATTCAGTCAAGCTCTGTAACATCACAGAGGAGTAGCGACAGGTCTGCAACCCCCTGGTAACCTAGAGAAAACTTTGTTTATGGTTTAAAGTGTAGAAGATTACATCTATCAATCACATTAGTTATATAGTGCAGAACGAGCATTTTTATTCTCAGCTTGCTGTGGGTACTTCCTTGCTGTACTTTCACTTCTGAGTGGAAAGTGGAGACACACTGACATGCCAGCTTTGGCCAATCTCAGCTTTGTTCACTGATATCAGTACATTGGTAGTGTTAGGTAGCATTTTTAAAATGATATTTTTAAAAAGTCAAAAAATCTTACCTGCCAAATTGTTATTTTAAACACGAGCGTCAGCCCAGAAATTCACATCGCGAGAGGAAATATTTAACACTTGGCTGTTTTTAGTGTTTGTGGGTGTGTTGGATGTTTACTTGTCCTGAGGTATGTGTTTGCAAAAGGAAGTGAGAATAAATGTTGATGTATGTGCATATGTAGACAAACAGGTGTGTGTGTGTGCGGCCTCGAGCGTATTTATCTTTTCTTGAACTGCACAGTTTGTATTCGCTCTGGTTTGTCCGTACAGCTTTGTGCTGGTTTCAACTTTACTGCATTTGAAGTATTCCTCCTAACTGATCAGTCAACAGCACCATTAGTCAACTTAGTGCTCGCTGCACACCTTTGAGAGGTAACGTATGATGTTTAGAGGGAACGTGTAGCAGTAAATGTAGCTTTTCAAAGGTTAAAGTAGGAGACGGCTTTAAGAGCCCTGAAGGCCCTGTTATTAAGATCTTTCATGTGGTGCTTCATTTCCTATCAATTCTCTACTTTGCACGGAAAGAATGAAGAAATCTCTTTGAATTTTAAAGAAATGGGAAAAGTAAGAAGAGTAGAAGTCATGCAAGAAGACAGAATTATCAGTCATCTTCTAAAAGGAGATGCAGACCGCACTGTTGAAGCTACTTCTGTTAAGCAGTAATCAGTGCAAACTGTACTCACAGGAATACCCAATCCTGGAATAAAACTTAGTGGTACACAGGTTTTCTGTTTCTTGTTATAAAGACAATCTCTGTCTATTTGTGTGTGTCAGTGTGCGTTTCTCTGAAAGGAAGTGTGGGGGAGGTCTGAGAATCTCGGGGCATTTCTCGTTTCTGCAGATATCTGGAAGTGCACACACTCTAAAAACAAACAAACAATGAACTTAGAAAAAGAACTGCCGTTAAATTTGAATAAATGTCTTAAAGTAAGTACATGTTAGATTCTTCAAGGCTTTGTTTAGAGCCGCAGCTGGCCTGCATGTTGCATTAATTGAATGGAAGCAGCCCACAAATGCGTTGGAGCTGGAAGATGTTCAGATGAAAGAAGGGCTGTTCAGAAACAATCATATGATTCTGGATCAACTTTTGCTGCAGTGTTGCGTTAAAAATAAAATAAAGGACGTACAGAAATAACAGTCCAGTGTTGTAAAATCAAGTGTGTAATACTTTGCATCTGATAATCCTTTGAATGCATTATCTGGACCTTTGAAAACAGCTTGTTTTTGTCTAAATTCTCACTAATATCATCTAAAAGCTGGTTTCGTTTTTGTAACTTCACCAAGCAACACTTGGATCATCGTGACTCTGCAGTGCTGTTCAGACACGCCTCAAATGTAAATATTAATTTTTACAATTACACTTGAGCTTTACTTTCACGGTCCAGATACCAAATCTAACAAAGCATTGTTTCTTATGTGAAGCAGAGTCATTCTTAATCCTTTTAACAGCATCCATACTTTTCCTATCAGTACAACTCACAATGTCTACTGTGGAAAAGGCTTGTTGTCCAAAAGTCCGTGGTTTTATTTGTGCGATTCATCATGCAGAGACTACAGAGGACCTCAAAAGGCACACAACACTTGGTGAGACATCAGGGAAGCAGTGTGAGGGAAATAAACTCGCATTTTTCTTCAGATGTGGTAGGTGTAGCGTGCTTTAAGTGTGCTGAGGGCTAAATTTTATTCCTTGAAGATTTGCTGACTGTGTGAAATGATGTCCATACTCAGGGAAAAAATGATTGTCACAAAGATAGAAGAACAAGAATGGACACACACACATACACAGTGAGAAGTAAAGTCTTCCTGTTATTCATTGCTCTGCAAACTCAAGTCAGCATTTAAGCAGGATTTTACTCCAACTTCCTTCTTTAACCTTCCCGTTCTCATCTGTCGGGAAGCGGCACACACAAGCGGCCCAGATATACCACTTGTGTGTGCGTGTATGAGAGAGAGAGCGAGCAGTGAAACAGAAGAAATGTAAGTTCAGATCTCAACTGGACTCACTTCCCGTCTGTGGCTTTGTTTGCCTTCAGCCTGCAGACTCACCTCACCAGCACATCCTTGTGAGGACCCTCAGTAGTGTAATGCATTTCCTAGCCTGCTGGTAAGCAGATAGAAGTCTGTAGGCAATGTTTGGCCTTCTGTCAAAAATATTAGGCCCCACTTTTTCATTATTTTATTTTGTAAAAAGCTCAACTTTCAGTTTTTATACTGTGCGTCTAACTGTTTGCATAATGTCCCAGAAATTCAACAGTAGTTGCAAATGTAGAAGTTGGTTGCCTGATATTGTGCAACTCTTTAACCAGTTTGTGTAGTACACTATGTCTTGACGCGTACTCAAATACATCTGCTGATTCGGAGTGTTAAACATTAAAGCTGCAGACAGCTTACAGTTTTTAGATTATGTCATCTTGGCTGTTGAGCTGTGATATGCAAACTGCATTGAAGTCGTTCTGGGGGTCCATTCTAACAACATGGAGCCACGCCAGTGACATTTTTGATATGTTGTAGATTAGTTTGAAGCTGACACAGTGTCTAAGCTCACAACTCAGTGTTACGTTCAAGTCCACAGCTGCAAAGTCCTGAAGGGCTTTCAATGTAGCGCTTCACTTTATAAAAGCCCCACCAGTGAAATGGGGAGACCGCAGCTTACATATTGAGGTTTGATGACGATGCAGGTCAAGTGAATAAGGTCGCAGTCACACACTCCTAGAGATCGATCTATGAACATCTGCCAACCACTGCTTGTTAGGGAAAAATGAGTATTTCCCAACCAGTTGCGAGTTGCTGTTGCAGGTTCACCTTCAAATTAAGAGCTGCACCTTTTGGTGGCTCCAGTGCTGATTGCACAACTTTTACTTTGAAGGAGAACCTTCTCATTTTTGTTATGCATTGCACTTTTTCAAGTTCTACTACAGCTGACTTAGTACTTAGTGAATTTTTGCGGGCAAACATGAAAAGCTACAGACAGCCACGGCAATCCGCCAGCAGCCAAAGCAGACACTAGAGCCAGATACCTCCAGGAAACACTGCCAACCAGTTGGGGAATACACATTTTTCCATAGCAATATGTGATTATATCGCATCCATTATGACAAACAGCTGTTTGGTTACAAGAGAAATCTCAAAAAACAAATGACAATTTGCAAAACAATTTGCATCTCAGTCACAAATATAGAGTAATATTATAGAAGTATAGTATTAAATTAGCTATTTTTAATAGCTAGCAAGTAAAGGCTAAGACTCTTCTTTTGGGTTGAAAATTGGTCGACGCATCGGGCAGTGGACGACCCGAGGGCTTTTCTCCACTGTCGTCATTAAGGGTTGCCGATCATCATCTTCGCCCTGATTCAGTCGATACTGAGATTCACTTGCTGTTTCCGTAGCGATTGGAGTTTTTACAGGGTGGGGTTGCTAGCCCCACGCCCAACCCTCCTCCTTTCTCATCCGGGCTTGGGACCGGCAATGGCAGAGACTATTGGCCCAGCTTCTATATGAATTTGACTCGTACTGTATGGACATCTTGGGCATCTCAGAAATGCGATGGGCAGGAAGTGGGAAGATGGTTAGTGATGGAAAGATGGTGCTCTACTCTGGCCATGCCCAAGACCATGCACGTGGCGTGGGCTTCATCCTCTCGCGACGTGCAACAACATCATTGCTGGCCTGGAAGCCCATTTCAGACCGCCTAACCTTAGCTCGTTTCCAAGCTAGGCATGTGAAAGTCACAATTCTTCAAGTATATGCTCCAACAGAAGAGGCTGACGATACTGACAAGGATGGGTTCTATGCGATGCTCCAGGATGCCATTGACAACTCCCCGCGTCATGATTTGCTGATCGTGGGCGGAGATTTCAACGCGCAAATAAGCAGTAACCGGGATGGCCTGGAATCGACTATCGGCCCGTTTGGAATCGCAGCAATGACAAATGAAAACGGTAGGCGGCTGATCTCGTTCTGTGCGGCAAACCTGCTGACCATCAAGAACACCTTCTTCGGCCACAAGCGGATACACAAGGCGACGTGGAAGGCCCCTGGTGGCAGATATACAAGCGAGATCGACTACATCTGCATATCATCCCGCTGGGCATCCACCATTAGCGATGTTAGAGTGTGGCGTGGAGCCGACATTGACTCGGATCACTGCCTGCTAATTGCCAAATGTAAACTTCACCTGAAGCGCCTCCAACCACGACTGCAGCGGCCAAGTCCTTTTAACATTCAACGCCTAAAAGATGCAAATACGGCAGCAGAATTTCAACTCGAATTGAGAAACCGCTTCCAGCTCCTTGCTGCGGAAGGAAATAACAACAAAAATCCAGATACACCCTGGGATGAGCTAAAAGAGGCTGTGGTCGGTGCAGCAGAATCGAAGATTGGTCGCCGACGGGGCAGCTTTAAGGAGCGCTGGATCTCCGACCGTTCATGGGAACTTATAGATCAACGTCGCTTGGCAAAGTCAGTTCGGGACCAGGTGGCCTTTGACCCACATGCTTCTGCAGACCAGCGTGAGAGGGCCATGGCCACCTACCAAGACCTTGCCCGACAGGTCAAACGCAGCTGCCGGCGTGACAGGCGTGAATGGATCGAAGCTAAAGGCATCGAAGCCCAAGAAGCAGCCGATCGGAACGACACCCGAACCTTATATCGCATTGTACGAGATCTAACTGGGGCTCGTGGTGGCCGCGGTGTTCCAATCCGAGACAAAAATGGACGTGTCCTCCTTACTGCAGCTGAACAAGAACAACGATGGGTTGAACACTTCCGTGATACTCTGAACCAACCTGAGCCACCCCAACGGTTCGAGGCCGAAGACCTGGCACCTTCCATGGATCTTCTTCCTGTCGATATCGAACAAATCAGCATCACTGAAGTCAAGACAGCGATCCGACTCCTCAAGAGTGGAAAGGCCGCAGGCCTGGACGAAATCCTCGCCGAAATGCTGAAGAATGGTGGACCCCATCTTGAAGCCGCCCTTACAAGACTCCTAAACGCCTGCTGGTCAACATCACATGTACCCGATGATTGGACAAAAGGCACCATTATCAAACTTCCAAAAAAAGGTGATTTGGGTGACTGTAACAACTGGCGGGGCATCACGTTGCTGTCGGTACCCGGGAAAGTGTTTTGCCTCGCTCTTTTGAATCGGCTACGACACGCTGTGAACGAACGATTGCGAGAAGAGCAGGCTGGGTTTCGGAGTGGCCGGTCATGCGTCGAGCAAATCTTCACCCTCCGCATGATCATTGAACAAACATTGGAATACCAAAAGAAGATTTCTATTAATTTCATTGACTTCGAGAAGGCTTTTGACAGCGTCCACCGGCCGACTCTATGGGCTATCCTACGCCACTATGGAGTCCCTCAGCAGTTTGTAGATGCCTTTCGTTGTCTCTACTCCAACTCCCGTTGCTGCGTCCGGACGGATGACGGCTGCACAGCCTTCTTCAAGATCAATACTGGCGTCTGACAAGGATGCGTGCTATCCCCTTTCCTCTTCCTGTTGGTAATTGACTTCATCATGCGACGATCAGTTGACCAAGCTGACATCGGTGTGCCCTGGCACGAAGCGCGTAATCTCACTGACTTGGACTTCGCAGATGACATCGCCCTGCTGGGCTCGACTCAGGAAGACCTCCAAAAGTTGACCGCGGCCCTGCAGAGGGAGGCAACGAAAGTTGGATTAAGAATCAGCGCCAAAAAAACCAAGGTACTCCGAGTTGGCTATGCACGTGCCCGCATTCCTGTCATGATCAACCAACAACGTGCTGAAGAGGTGGAGAATTTTACATATCTTGGCAGCATCATCTCGAATGACGGGGTCTCTGATCGGGATGTCGACGCCAGAGTAGGGAAGGCAGTTGGTGTCCTGCGACGTCTCCAACCTATTTGGAACTCGACCTCCCTGAATGTAAGGGTCAAGATCAGACTACTGAACTCTATAGTCTTCCCTACTGCACTTTACGCTAGTGAAACCTGGCGCTCAACAAGTGCAATTATTCAACACCTGAACGTGCTTCAACAACGTGGCTTGCGGCGAATCCTGAGAATTTCCTACCGGGACCGAATAACAAATGAGGAGGTCCTACAAAGAGCAGGCACCCGCCCATTAGCCGATGTTGTTGCAGAAAGGCGCTTTCGCTTTGCGGGACATATTTTACGCCTACCCCCTCATCGCCCAGCTAAGATTGCCATGACATGGCGTCCACGCACTGGCAAGCGAAAGCAAGGCCGACCAAAGACCACATGGCGTCGAACATTTATGGACGATCTGAGAACTGTCAACATTGCCTGGGACGAAGCTGAAGCAGTCGCTGCTGACCGACATCGATGGAGATCACTAGCTGCCCGATGCGCCGCTCGGCGTAGGAGGAACTAAGTCTAAGTCTAAAGGCTAAGACTACCAAAGAGGGTTCAAATAATCCCTTTTGTGACAAGTAAATAAATCAAAGACCAGACTAAATTCTCACAAAGACATCTATGCAGTAACAATGAAGCGTCTTAGCAGCTTTTCATCACCGTGGTTATGTACACCCAGGGCTGAATCCGTGCTATTGGAACTGTGGTCCAACCTAAATGTGACTAAGGCGTGGTGAAATAATCCCAAGCAAAGTCTACAGACAGAATAACATTCGTGTGTGTATAATCTGAGTCTGCTCTTGTCTTTCAGGTCAGTCAGCGTGGATCTGGAGCCCCTCCCTTCCCCGCCTGACACTTCTGCCCCAGCCAATCACAGAGGGAGCTCAGAGCCAGAAAGTCAGAGTCAGCGTGAGTACTGGGATGAGGGGACGTTACCTCGGCGACACATCCTCTGATAATCAGAGTGTTGCTGTGTATTTCAGTTCAAAACTGTTATTTTTTTATTTCTGAGGTTTTGTTTTATCCTGTTCGTTCACACGTGGGTACCCAGAGATAAAGTAACTACACGAGAGGAAGTGCAAACATTTAGTTTATTTCTGTTTTGCTCTCCTTTAGCTCTGCTTTTAGTCTCTACAACAACATACTCCTGTTCGTCTGCTATAAGCACTCCTCTGTCTTTAACTGGGTGGTCACTGGGTTTCTGGTGTGTTTTTAGAGCTTATTTGTTCTCTTCAGCAGCTCAAAGATAAAAACAGACAAGCAGGTTGGCTGAACACAGAACCAGTGTTTCACAGTGAACACGGAACCATTACAGTTTACACAGTATTGATTATTTCAGCCAGTTTTGCACATTCGGACAGAAACAAACACATTCGCCGTCTTTGATCATCCCTACAGCTCCTGTCACCTTCACCCTGCCAGAGCAGGTAATCCAGAAGACAGATCACTTCCTGTTCTCCTACCCCTGGTTCCACGGACCCATCTCTCGCGTCAAGGCGGCCCACCTGGTTCAGAGCTCCGGGCCAGAGGGACACGGGGTGTTTCTGGTCCGACAGAGTGAGACACGCAGGGGCGACTACGTCCTCACCTTCAACTACCAGGGAAAAGCAAAGGTACGGATCAGTATGTGGGTACAGTTGTGGTTGCAGTTGAGGATTGTCTTTTGAAACCCAAGTTGTTTTGTTTTTTTCCATCTGGAAACGTGAAAATTGTGCAGACACAGGAAGCATTACACAAGCATAGATAAACAAGTGTGCACACTGAGCACTGTGGTTAGGAAAAGAATTCACTTCAGCCAACGTGAAACGTCTGTTTCCTCATCTTTTTTCCCTCTTTCCTCTCTGCAGCACCTGCGCCTCTCTTTGACAGAATGGGGTCAGTGCAGGGTGCAGCACCTGCGCTTCCCATCTGTTATGGACATGCTCAGTCATTTCAGACTCTTCCCTATCCCACTGGAGTGTGGAGCCGCCGGTGCTGTCACTCTGTCCCGCTTCGTAGTGGCGGGTTCCACCCCGCCTTCACAGGGTGAGACTCGTGGATTTGGACCTCATTCAAATAATAATGTGTACCAACGGTGTTATCGCTGAATTAGTAGTGTGATGCACACACGTTTAAAGGCAGTACACCCGTACTTATACAAATTAAAGGAGCAGCTTCTCCAGTAGTTTGTGGTTGTGCTCCACTGCAGTTTGTAGTACCTCCGCGAATCAGTGCACATCGGAAATTCAGACTGAATAAAGAGGTTTTTAGTTTTTATATAATCAACTTCTACAGCTCATGTTTGCTGATTTATTTCCTCTTGTTTCCCTCAGGTCAGCTCTCAGGCGCCTTCCTCGTCCCGTTCTCCCTCCATCGCTGGAGCTCTGAGCCCAGCTTGGCTCACTGCAGCCTGGCTCGCAGCTCCAGCCAGCCCCCTTCCTCCTGCTCCACCAACACCACGGCCAGCACCAGCTTTTCCACTTCCAGCTCCTTTTCCCAGTCTGGAATCCATTCTTTTACCCGCACCGGCATGGTCCCCGAGCCCACGCTGTCAGCCCCGCCTCCACTCCGTCGGAGCGAGTCGGTAGGAAGGAGGAACCTGCTACGCCACCCCAGCACCCACGCTCCCATCATCCCTCAGCGGGACTCAGACTATGAGCTGGAACCTGACCGCGGTCGCAAGCGGGCAATAGACAACCAGTACATGTTGCTCTGACCCCGCTGAGTCAAACACCTGCAACACCTCTGAACGACAGCAGACACCTGTGAAGCTGACACACTCAGACACACACAAACACACTTGTGTTTGCTTGTCGCTCCCCTCCCACAGGTATATAACCTGATGCAGCAGACTCATGAACTTGAGTGAAGAAGTCTTTGTCTGATGAATGCATACCACTGTGTATGTGGAAACACACACAAACACTCACTTTGTGCGTGTGTGTGTTTACCAGTGTCAGACCCTCACATCCTCCACCCAGACTGTCCACAGTGAATGTATTTTCGGAGCTTTATAACAGTGCTGATTATTAATGTTGAGGTTCTCTGTGAGAGTGGGAGAGTCAAATGACTATTGACCTAAAGCCCAGGCAGAAAATAGTTTTCTATATTTCTATTCTGGTCATTTTTATAGAGGTGCACTTGTTTTCATTTCTTTGGCACTTAACCAGAACTGATGGGAAGGCACTCCCTGCAAAATTGGTTAATTTAAAATATTTAAAAGACATTTACTCTCCACACAAAGTTTCCAGTGTGGAGCAAACTCTCACCTTTCTTTCTTTTTTTGTACACAGACAAAGAGCGCTCATTTTAGAGCATTATTACATTAGATATTCTCCCACTTGTGCTTTATTATGTATTGAAGTATATCTTCAGTGCACTTTGAAAGCAATGTGTATTTTTTCTATGCACAGATACTTTTGTAGAAAAATAATAATGATTTTTATTTTTTTTTACAGTCAAAAAGGGGAAACTTTTGTTACATTTTGCTAAAAATGGATTGAGCACCGCTTCCACTCCTTCAAACTTACAGAGAAGAACGGATTCAGAATCAGATTTTCATCACCGCTCTTTAATTTTTACCCTAAATCTAAGTTTGAGTTGTGCATCTGGATGTGACCGTTTATGCGAGAATAAAGCAAGTGTGTGGTGTTATGTTGAATTTTGATCACCTAAGGCAGTTATACTCAACTTATGGGTAGGTCAGGGTCACTTTGAGTGTCAGCTGGAATATCTGCCCTTTCAGATTTACTAAATAAAAAGGACAGACGAGGTTCCGGCTCTTTAATTGTACCCAAAGCAGCTGCAGCTACAATCCAGCTGCTGAATGCCTTAAAAGATATTATTTACTTGTAATATAGTCAAGTATTTTAAAAATAAACTATTTTACAAGAGAGTAAATTATTACTTATAATTATAATTACTTATATAACAACAAAGCACCACAGAAATCATTTCTGCCACAAAATCAGAGAAGCTGGAGTGATAAAGTAACAAGAGAATTTTAATATGTCGCCATCCTGCAGCCGTGAACGGTGGGTTTAGATGGTCTGTGGATATTATTACAAGCACTTTTTAAGAGTTTGAAGTTTCAACTGAATGAACGACAGAAAATTGTACTTCTGCTCTGGTTTATATGCTATAAGATGTGACGTGTAAACGTTTTCCTCCATTGTCACAGGTTTACAGGTCGCAGGCATTTAAGAGCTCATAAAACAACCTTTAACAGCAATAACTCTGAGTGATTGTTTGCTGGATCAGTTTCTCTCACAGTTGAGGAGCAGTTTTTATCCCACTCTTCTTTTGTGGCCATTCATTGTGCACACCTCCCATATGGAAAAGATATATATAAATCTTATAAAGGTTGTATCTGTCTTGTGTGAAACTTGTATGAAAAGCATACAAGAGTGAAAACAGATATAAGATCCCTTGAAAAATTATATAATGATAATGATATAATGATACTTACTAAAACAATATATGAAAGAAATAAGAAAGTGGCCACTTTCATGAGTAAATCATATACGTTTTTACTATCTCTTTTCCATATGGGCTCTGTTCAGGACCCACTGCAGTATTTCAGGCTGCTGTGGTTGGGATCGTCGACCTGTTGCACGATCCAGTTTCAGTCAAGCTTTAGCCTTCACACAGTGGCCTTACATTTGGCTCTAGAATACTTTGGTATAGAAAGGAGTTCCCGGTCGACTCAGTCGATGCTTGAACGTTGGCGTGACAGCTTTGTGCAGGCGTGCTGTGTTTGGCTTTCATCAAATGTGGCACTGACTGTGGCATCTTTTGATCCACAAGTCTTGTGGTTTGCTCAGATGGTCCTTTGCAAACCTAATCTGTGTGCTGACATGTTCCCTTTAGAGAGAAGAGGTTGTCTCCTTCCAAACAATTCATACTTGTTCTGTCATGGACTTTAACATTAAGAAATGTTAAAGGTGCTATGGAGGTGCTCACACTTGCAGACGATCAGTTAAGTGTGTTTAATTTGCTTCTTACTTTCTTAATTACTATGGAAACAATAAGGGTCTTCTTAGTTTTTCTGCATAGAGTAATGTGTGATTTAAGCGGTCTCTTTATGTTTTTTCAGCAATACCTTCACTGCATTTTACTGATTTTGTGGCATGAAACGATTTACCAAAATAAGACTTGGCACTCCAATGTGAATTTTGCACTTGTATGTCAAAAAAAACAAAGACATAAGCTTGAATGGCTTCACTTCAAAGAGCACAACAGGGGGCGAACTTTATGTGCAGACCAAAACAAAGTAGTTATTGAGTCAAAGTCGGGCATTTAACACAAGTCTGATTGATTTATCCTTCACGTTGTCTGGAGTCTCAACCTTTTTCCAATCAGTTTTGCATCGGGCTGTTAATCCAGCATTAAACCCTTAATGCTCCGGAAAAACTGAGGTGGCTCAGTTAATATTAACATGTGCTTTCCTGATTTGGGGGAGGAGCGTCATGTTCTTATCTGTATTTTTTACACTCACAGCATTAATTTTTTTTTTTTTTCGTATTTTCTGTGTGACTTCACCACAGCAGCTAAAAACCAAGGAATGGCTGTGAAGTTAATGTCTTTTTTTTTACACTATATGTTATTTGTAATAGAATTTGTATGTTTATATCATAGAAGAAGTTTGGTTTCAATCAGCAAAGCTTTGAAAGTGTCACGAGATGTTAGACACCAGTGATCGGACGCTGTTCCTCTGTCCTCCAGCTTCATGTTTTTGTGCACTTAAACTGGATTTAATCGATAACATAAGGTGCCTTGTGAGTTTGTCATCATAGCTTTTGTAAGGTTTATCCCACCAGTTGAAAGTGCACTGACTATGCCAGGTGTCAACTCAGGTGTAAATTTTATTGCTGTGAGCGGACTTAAAAAAAAAAATCTCATTCCACCACATTGAGTTTCTTCAAAGGGCATCTAAACAGCTGATTTTTACCCCAGACTTTATGGTGTTCTCGTTTTTCACACGCCAAACATGAAATGTCATGTTTCCTGTAATTTTTACTTTATTTTTATTTTAATAATTGAAGCTTCAGTGCCACTAGCAGCAGGATTTCTTGGGGAATGGTGTTGTAGGACTTGTCTGTCTTCTAACCTTGCTTTAACACTAACTTTAGCAGATGATTTTAGGTTTACTTGCAGTAAATCTGTGCTTAATATATGGTTTAGATATGATTCTGTTTGTCTCGCTGTCCTCTTAATTATTGCAGTTTGCTGGAGAGGTTTCTTTCCTTTTTTTTAAATAAGAGAAAAAGAAAAATGCAACTTGACTCCCTCCTTGTCACGATCAGAGCGAGATCGTCGTCATTACTCCTCTAATAACAAGTCAGCTTTGTCTACCAAAGGAATATTTGTTACAATGGTTGTGTAGTTCTCTTTAATGTAATCATCATGATAAAGACTGACATCTTTCAAGGGGAACAAAAACAAGAATGTTTTTGGCAAAAGTACGGTTGGTCTTCCTAACTTTTATGTTGCTCAAAGTCAAAACAAATCACCTTCTCCATCAACACCTCTGTTTCTCTTCTGCTAAACGAAAGCAACGGTAACAGTAACTATTTTTAAAAATATACCAGTCCCCTCTCTTTGCTGATTTCCCTTTAAGGGAGAATGACTGTGCCTTTTGCCAGAAAGCTGCTGTTGCTTTTCCCCTTTTTAATTGTTGTTGTTGTTGTTTTTCCTCTCCAGAGCTCAGGGTGTGATTGTGTAGTGCAATATCTGAGAGATGCCCCGTGCTTCACACCTTCATGTTTGTAGCTAGGGAGCGATCAGAAGCTTGGATGGATGGCTTTCGGTGTTTTCACCTGGTCATAGATTGAAGTAAAAAATAGCCAATGACTGCCCAAGATCCTGGGAAAACATGCTATGTTAGAAAAAATAAACAGGGCTACCGCATATTTCTGTTGCTTCATGGCTGATATTTGCAGGAATCGAGATAATGCAAGAGAAAATCCCCATGTACCTCAGGGGTCTTTTAATCTTTAACATCTACTCCAGAAATGCCCCCACTCACCCCCCCAAATCCATGTTTTATTTTTTTAATGTCCAGTAGATGAATGTCATGTGTTCTCAATACTGTTCATCCCGTTTTGTTTTGTTAACTCAGCACTGTAAACATTCCAGTTTAACCCATCATCCCTTCTACAGTCAACGAAAACCACCTTTGAAAATCTGTCATTGTGTTTGCATCCCTTTCAGCATCTAAATTATATTAAATATATATCAACTGTATATTTGACCCATTTTTTAAAATAAACCCAACCAAAAAAAAAAAAAAATGGTGTGGTTAGTTTGTGTATCTGATGTTTGTCTTTGTTCATCACAAAGAACAAAGTTGGCAAATGCGACATGGTGGCATTTCTGTTTTACAGCTGTAAGATACAGAGATTACAGTGACTACACTTACCTGACACTTTGTTGGGTACATCTGTTCACATGGCAACAAATCAGAATCAGAAAGGGGTTTATTGCCAAATGTTGAGCAGGTTTACAACATTAGGAAATTGCTGCGGTGCTTCAGTGCAAACATAGTGTCATAAATAGCACTTAAATAGTGTCATAAATAGCACTTAAATAGACATGAAAAAATAAAAGTAGGGATAAGAATTAAAAGTGCTACGTAGAAAGATATGTGCATGAGCTATACATGAGATATATACATGAGAATAAGAATTAAGAGTGCTACGTTGAAAGATATATACATGAGTGCAGGTGGTGATCAGTGCCAAACATGGAATGATGCAGTGAACACAGCGTAGGGTCATGTGTTAGTGGTGGGAACAGTCATACGGTTATTGTTCATGTGTCCAACAGCAGAAGGGAAGAAACTGTTCTTATGGCGAGAGGTTCTGGTGCGAATGGACCGGAGCCTCCTGCCTGAGGGGAGCAGGTCAAACAGACTGTGTCCAGGGTGAGAAGGGTCAGCTGAGATCCGAGCTGCACGCCGCAATGTCCTGGAGGTGTACAGGTCCTGCAAAGATGGGAGTCTGCAGCCAACCACCTTCTCAGCAGAGCGCACAACACGCTGCAGTCTCTGTTTGTCCCTGATAGTGGCTCCAGCGTACCACACTGTGATGGAGGAGGTGAGGATGGACTCGATGATTGCGGTGTAGAACTGCATCATCGTCCGTGTTGGCAGGTTGAATTTCTTCAGCTGCCTCAGGAAGTACATCCTCTGCTGGGCTTTCTTGATGACGGAGGTGATGGTGGGCTCCCACTTCAGGTCCTGGGTGATGGTGGTACCCAGGAAGCGGAATGAGTCCACAGAGGTGATGGGGGTGTCAGTCAGGATGATGGGGGGGAGTGGGGCTGTGTGCTTCCTGAAGTCCACAATAATCTCCACTGTCTTCTGGGCATTCAGCACCAGGTTGTTGTGGCTGCACCAGGACACCAGACGTTCAACCTCCCTCCTGTAGGCAGACTTGTCCCCGTCCGAGATGAGCCCAATAACGGTGGTGTCATCTGCGAACTTGATTAGCTTGACAGACTGGTGGGTGGAGGTGCAGCAGTTGGTGTACAGGGAGAAGAGCAGAGGAGAAAGAACACAGCCCTGAGGGGAGCCGGTGCTGATGGTCCGGGAGTCCGAGACATTCTTTCCCAGCCTCACATGCTGCTTCCTGTCCGTCAGGAAGTCAGTGATCCACCGGCAGATGGGATCAGGCACATTCATCTGGGAAAGCTTGCCTCGGAGATGGTCTGGAAGGATGGTGTTGAAGGCAGAGCTGAAGTCCACAAACAGGATCCTGGCGTAGGTTCCTGGGGAGTCCAGATGCTGCAGGATGAAGTGTAGGGCCATGTTGATGGCGTCGTCTACAGACCTGTTGGCTCTATATGCAAACTGCAGGGGGTCCAGGAGGGGGGCCGTGAGGGTCCTGAGATGGGAGAGAACTAGGCGCTCTAAAGACTTCATGACCACAGATGTCAGAGCCACGGGTCTGTAGTCATTTAGTCCAGTGATCCTAGGTTTCTTGGGGACAGGGATTATGGTGGAGGACTTGAAGCAGGCAGGCACATGGCATGCCTGCAGTGAGGAGTTGAAAATGCCAGAAAACACTGGGGCCAGCTTGTTTACACAGTGTCTGAGGGTGGCAGGAGACACGCCGTCTGGGCCGGGAGCTTTCCGAGCATTCAGGTTCTTAAACTGCTTCCTCACATCTGCTTCATGAATATGAAGAGTTGTGGTGGGAGGAGGTGGTGTGAAATCCTCTTTTGTGTGGGGTGAGGAGGGGGGTGTTGTAGGTGAACAGTTTGAAGGTGGTGATGGCTCTATGGAGGGGGGAGAGGTGGGGGGAATTAGTGTCCAAAGTGTCTCTATTGTTGGGGTCGTTGGAGGTGTGAAGGCTGCCTGATGGCTCGTCAAAACGACAGTAGAAGTCGTTAAGGGTGTTGGCCAAGAGCAAGTCGTCAGTGGAGTGGGGGGTTTTAGGCTTGTAGTTTGTAATATTCCTAAAACCTTTCCACACAGAGGCCGAGTCATTCTCTGAGATCTGCTGCTGCATCTTCTCAGAGTGCTGATGTTTAGCAATGTCCACTTCTTTAGTGAACCTGTACTTGGCCTCTCTGTAGCAGTCCCTGTCTCCGCTTCTGAACGCCTTTCTCTTTTCCAGCCACAGCTTTTTGAGTTTAGGAGTAAACCAGGGTTTGTCATTGTTATAACTCACCCTGGTGCGTGATGGCACAATGCTGTCCTCACAGAAGTGGATATAGGAGGTGACAGTGTCCGTAAACTCGTCCAAGCTGTTAGAAGCAGCCTTCATTGTGTCCCAGTCTGTAGACTCCAAACACGTGCGAAGCTCCTCCACAGCCTCGTTGCTCCACAGTTTTTTAGTCCTCACGACGGGTTTGGAGAGCTTCAGCCTCTGTCTGTACGCGGGGATTAGGTGGATCATGACGTGGTCAGAAAGTCCGAGTGAAGCGCGGGGCACCGCGCGATAGGCCCCGCTGATCGTGCTGTAACAGTGGTCTAATGTCCTCTCCTCTCTGGTCGGGCATTTAATATACTGCTTGTATTTGGGAAGCTCATGGCTCAGATTGGCTTTGTTAAAGTCCCCAAGAGCAATGATGAGAGAGTCCGGGAATGTCCGCTCCATGTGCAGTATCTGCTCCGCGAGTGCGCTCTGAGCTGCCTGCGCATCTGCGTCTGGCGGGATGTAAACAGCGGCCAGGATGAATGAAGCAAACTCCCGCGGAGAATAACAACCAAGTGCATTTAGACATGGTCAAGATGACCTGTTCAAACGCCAAATGAAAATCAAAAGAAAGGTGATTCTTAGTGCAGCAGATAACTTAAGATTACAAGGAAATGGTTCACAGAGATGGATGCCCAAAGTTGGTACATACATTCTTTTATAATCACTTTCTTGATAAAACTCAAGATGGTAGTCATTTTCATGATGGTTATTAACAAAGGCAAAAAAGTATATTTTGTTAGATAAGTAGATCTGAGTTTTCTGTGATCTACTTTAGCCCAGTAATTTATAAAACACTTTTTGGTAGCTCCGACCTTGCACTGTAAACTCCACCCCCTGAGATTTTTTCAGTGTTTTTGGACACATGCAAACCCACATGGATACATTATGGGTTATTCACAATAAACAGGATTAAAAAATTATTTTATTTTTTTTTTACATTAAACAAAGAAAAACCCAATATTATAAAAAAGCAGTTTAACACTTGCACTTATGTATTTTCCTTGCTCAAAATCAAATCCAGTCATTTTATTGCTAAGATTGCACTCAAAGAGTGAAATGGACAACTTTTTCCATTTACTATTCAATGCACAGTACAGTGGAAAACTCTTGAGTCATCACTCATTTGATTCACTTATTTACTTGAATAGATGAAAAATAGTAATGAAAATGCAGTTCGACACCCATTTTCAAAGCAAATACAAATGAGGGGTGGCTCAGGACTTTTGCACAGTACTGTACCCTACTACTGGAATGCCATGTAAAGACCTGAAGCTTTGTAAATCTAACGTCCACTTGCCATGCTGTGTTATCAGCGTTCTTGAGACTGAATAAATACAGTTAGCGTTCAGAGATACAGTGGCTTGCAAAAGTATTCGGCCCCCTTGAACTTTTCCACATGTTGTCACATTACAGCCACAAACATGAATCAATCTTATTGGAATTCCACATGAAAGGCCAATACAAAGTGGTGTACACGTGAGAAGTGGAACAAAAATCATATATGATTCCAAACATTTTTTACACATAAATAACTGAAAAATTGGGGGGGAAATTGGGGTCTGCGTAATTATTCAGCCCCCTGAGTCAATACTTTGACCTTTTGCTGCAATTACAGCTGCCAGTCTTTTAGGGTATGTCTCTACCAGCTTTGCACATCTAGAGACTGAAATTCTTGCCCATTCTTCTTTGCAAAACAGCTCCAGCTCAGTCAGATTAGATGGACACCGTTTGTGAACAGCAGTTTTCAGATCTTGCCACAGATTCTTGATTGGATTTCGATCTGGACTTTGACTGGGCCATTCTAACACATGGATATGTTTTGTTTTAAACTACTCCCTTGTTGCCCTGGCTTTATGTTTAGGGTCGTTGTCCTGCTGGAAGGTGAACCTCCGCCCCAGTCTCAAGTCTTTTGCAGACTCCAAGAGGTTTTCTTCCAAGATTGCCCTGTATTTGGCTCCATCCATCTTCCCATCAACTCTGACCAGCTTCCCTGTCCCTGCTGAAGAGAAGCACCCCCACAGCATGATGCTGCCACCACCATATTTGACAGTGGGGATGGTGTGTTCAGAGTGATGTGCAGTGTTAGTTTTTTGCCACACATAGCATTTTGCATTTTGGCCAAAAAGTTCCATTTTGGTCTCATCTGACCAGAGCACCTTCTTCCACATGTTTGCTGTGTCCCCCACATGGCTTGTGACAAACTGCAAACAGGACTTCTTATGGTTTTCTGTTAACAATGGCTTTCTTCTTGCCACTCTTCCATAAAGGCCAACTTTGTGCAGTGCATGACTAACAGCTGTCCTATGAACAGATTCCCCCACCTGAGCTGTAGATCTCTGCAGCTCGTCCAGAGTCACCATGGGCCTCTTGGCTGCATTTCTGATCAGCGCCCTCCTTGTTCGGCCTGTGAGTTTAGGTGGACGGCCTTGTCTCGGTAGGTTTACAGTTGTGCCATACTCCTTCCATTTCTGAATGATCGCTTGAACAGTGCTCCGTGGGATTTTCAAGGCGTGGGAAATCTTTTTGTAGCCTAAGCCTGCTTTAAATTTCTCAACTTTATCCCTGACCTGTCTGGTGTGTTCTTTGGACTTCATGGTGTTGTTTCTCCCAATATTCTCTTAAGACAACCTCTGAGGCCATCACAGAGCAGCTGTATTTATACTGACATTAGATTACACACAGGTGCACTCTATTTAGTCATTAGCACTCATCAGGCAATGTCTATGGACAACTGACTGCACTCAGACCAAAGGGGGCTGAATAATTACGCACTTTGCAGTTAAAAAAAAAAAAAAAAAAAAAGTTTGGAATCATGTATGATTTTCGTTCCACTTCTCACGTGTACACCACTTTGTGTTGGTCTTTCACGTGGAATTCCAATAAAATTGATTCATGTTTGTGGCTGTAATGTGACAAAGTTCAAGGGGGCCGAATACTTTTGCAAGCCACTGTAAAAAGCTAGAACACAAGAGTGCACGTTCACAGTAACGACACACCAACAGTACAAGCAAACCACAAGAAGCAGTTCAGTTTTTAAAACTTTTTTATTGTTTTTAAATTTTTTTGCTCATTTTTTAAATTATTTATATTATCTACAAAGTAAAAGTTTTAACTTAAAAGTTACATAAGGGTCGGGTGAGAAGTGGGATCTGATCACCTCAGCCGTTATAATTTCATAACACTTTCTCCTGTCCTCTCGGCTGCCAACATGAGTTTATTTCACAGAAAGTTTCTCGTCATGTTTCATTTTTAGTTTGGTTAGAAACGTGTCGTGTAGTCTGGAAATAAATGCAGCACATAGCAGCAGCAATAAACAGTAGGATTAATACTGTCTAAAGGTTGGAAGATTCTTTTCATAACAAGGTGCGGACAAAAATTACGAGTTCCAGTTGAATTTTCTTCTTCACACTCGCTGATTGTTTACTCTCTTTCACTTCTTACTTGGCAAGCTGACTTAAGTTGCAATTTGGGACCCCTGAAAGTGTGTGTAGATGTAGGTATAACTATCTGTGTTTGCAGATCTGTATGTGTATGCGTGTGTGCTTGTGTGTGGGGGGCCTGAATAGGAGCAGTCTTGTCTGTTAAAACTCTAGCTCGTTAAAACATGTCACTGCATCAACCTGTTAACATTCTCTTATTGCCTGGTCAGGGAGGGAGGGAGGAGGGAGGGAAGAGAAAAGCTGATGTGAAGCATGTCTGGTGAGGATGAGGGAAGAGAGGAGAGGGTGGGCTCTCTCATCCTCTTCATCGCCTGGTTATGAAGGCTCTGGTTGAGAAGCGCGGCGCAGAACGGGTCCCTCAGCTCGCTGACGCATCTACAGCTGCTGCTGATGATGAGGTTGCACTGCAGGGATGACAGAAAGTTTCTTTGTAACACGTTAGACAGCTTTACAAAATACAAACTATTGTTTTAATTACACTCAAATAACAAACCAGTAATTCTCCTCCAATCATCTAAATCTGCACCTAAAGACGGAGTTTTCCCTGGTTTAACCTGAGGAGAATTAAATATCTGATAAAAATAAATAAATAAGTGTGTTTCTTCTGAAATTACCATTACTCAAAATCTCACCCCGATCATGTGTCCAAAGCTGAATCTTTTTAAAGACCTATCTTTAAATAACTGATGGTTCTGCAAAGCCCACAGTATGACTCGACCATCTGCATGGCTCTTATTGTGTGTATCGAATAGAGGACAGATGTTTTCCTTACAAAACACAATCTGAAAGTCACCAGTTCACCTTCGACCAGTGTTTAAATGCAGTTAGCTCAGAGCTGGTTAGTTATTAGCCCCTCAGTGGATGCACCTTTACCACCTTTACATCTTTCAGCCTTTTATGACTCAGGGGTGAAATGTGTTTCTTGTACTGACTGGACACTTGTTACTTTGTCCCAAAGAATATGACAATATGTTAAAATCTTCTGACCAGTGACTGCTGACCTATGTGTCAGCAGTGTCCACGCACATATTTGCCTGCTGGGAATAATACAAAAATCACCTCTTTATGGTCATTTTTAACTGAATCAGATGAAAGGTGTAACATGTGCACAACTTTTATTTATTGCTTTATTTCCCAGGGGATAAATTCTCATCTGAATCAATTCCTACACAGGACAAATTTTACACGCCAAGTTTATGATTTGGGTCAAATACAGCAGCTGCCACTTCTTTCAAAGCTACCTTTTCTTGGCCTCTGTGTTCGCGGGAGTCGCCACACAGAAATCTTACTTCCTATTAAAATTCATTATTTTGAGCTGACTGTAACAAAAAAAAAAAAAACAGAAAAAACAATTTGTGTCCATGAACATGACCGACGACATTGCTGTTCTCCATGGCACCGACACTTGGGTGTCCACGCCTCCCCTGCCTGCACAGGGAGTGACGACAGAACCTCATCAGACTTTCATGGCTGAGGGATAATAACTGTCCAAAGAATTAAAAAAATAAAATTATGTGTGATTGCCCCAGCTAACTGCCATTATATCTATTAATGACACTCACCCCCCATGCAAAAAGAATTGAAGTCTAAATATTTCAACCATTGCCATGAAGAGTACTCACTTATTGCCTCAGTTTGCACAAAGGTGTAAAGAGGAGCTAGTAATGTAAAAGAACATTAGAGAAGGAAAACAACACAGTCTCTTTATAGAGGAAGGAAAATAATAAAAATACCTTGTGGATGTGCCAGGTAGGAGAAATGTGTGGTTGAGGAAACAGGGATGGGGTTAAGGGCAGTCTGGGGCATAGGTGGCTGTGGACCAGCTGGAGGACCCTGGGTAGCCATGAGCATCATTGGGGGATGGGTGGGTGCCGGGTGGTGGGATGGCACAATACCAGACTGCATATGGGCCTGGGAGCGAGAGAAAGAGCACAAGTGTGAGTGAGTGCGCCAGAGTGAGAACAAAAGTGTGACAGTGAGAGATCAACAGAAGGACAAAAGCCAGACTGGGTAAAACGATGAATCAGATGAGTTTCAGTGACACAGCGTTTCACGGCTCCGCCTGTCTGTTACCGACAGGAGCAGCAGCTCTGAACAGACACCGCATGATTCTGAATGTTTTTTTTCCTGTCTTCTTCAGCAGCCTGTTTACATAAAGGTGGGGCTCAGAGACAAACGCACATACAGCATGTGACTTCAGCTAAGACAATAACACGAGGTTACAGTTTACTTTTCAAGTTTGACTTGGAAACGGCAACGTTTGTTTTCCATGTGCAATGAAAACTTCCTGTAAAATGAAACTGTGCGAGTACTTTAACACCTGTAGAACAAACAGAAAATAAAAGAGCACTTTCACTGTGGTCGACCCTTCACACATAAAAGTCTCCTTAACGTACAAGGAAGGAAGAGCCAGGATAACAGAGGACAGGACAATAGCACAATGATTACCTTGAAAGTCTTGCATTTTAAGGCTTATACATGCCCAGACAAAATCTGAAACGGATCCACCACTAGAAGAAAAAGTTTAGCTTCCACAAGGTTTATAATATCTCTACTGTACTGAGACAGGGGTATGAAATCCTGCCAATCACAATCCTAGGGCTTTGGAAAGCTGCTCCACTCGAGTAGCATCATACAATTTACAGTTAAAAATATCCATATCTCATATTTGGCCTTGGTGGAGGCCCTCAGTAGAGACAGATTGATGTATCTCAATGGCAATATTAGCTAATTGGCAGTCTATTGGTATCTGTATTTATAATGGTCAATAGATGAAGTAAAGTTGATGTGTGAAACACTCTTCAGCCAGACAGATTGCAGAGTGGCCTCTGGTGTACAATTCTGAGCAGAGCACAAACAGGTAAATAACTACACATAATGTAACAATGCTAAGGAAACCCATTTGTTTCATGTATCTAGGGGGAACCCCCCCCCCCCAAAAAAAACCCCCCAAAACTGTCAGCTATTAGTCATCCTCCCTCTGAAGCAATCTGCTTTATCTCCTTAACCAGTTTCCTTCTGATTGGCTGCCCCTCATAAACAGATTATTTGAACAACAGCTGCTCTAAGCCAGAGCTGCATGTCTGAAATGATCATATTAAGGCCATCCACTCTCACTGACTTCATACATATGAGAGTAGAAAAGACTGAAACTGATCACTTAGTAACTTAAGTCGTGCACAAACACTGAAGTCATCATTTGAAACTTTGGGCAGGTTTATTGTGAGCCTTCTCTGTGATCAACTCTATAGCCTATATATGACACGCAACAAGGGAACTCTCAATAGGTCTATTTAAAGAATTCCTTCATAGACTCAATGGGGCCAAACTGCTATGGGTATCCAAGAATATCTCTGAATTCCGTGGTTAGGTTGTCTTCTTATCAGGAAATAATGTTTCTTTTCCTCTGTACCCCACGGCGTACCGTGAGAATGACAGCGCTACATCCCAACTTGATCATACTGCCAACAAAATGTCTACCTCATTTAAAGGGATTAATAAAAGCCAAATATGACCCATTCATAAACTCAAACACCTACTGGAATGGATCCCAGACCTTTCTCACACCCACAGTTAAGTCCAGCACAGGAAACACTGCCAATCTGATTGCCTGGCTTGAGCCACTGTGGTCGCTGTTGAGCACGTTCACAGCAGGCTGTGACCTACCTGCTGCACGTGCGCCATGTGGTTGGGGTTGTAGCCATGCTGGACCTGCTGTGGGTGGATATACACAGCCTGCTGAGCAGAAGGGAAAGATGCCTGTGGGGACTGAGGGTTTGGCCCTGGGGTCATCGAAGGTGGCGTGGGTGCCAAGGCCGAATACATCTGCTGCTGTGGAGGCTGGTTAGCCAGGTGGAGGGCCTGGGCTGCTGCTGCTGCTGCTGCTACAACAAAAATCATAAACACATGTATACATTACCATAATGCTCCACTTGAAAAAAATCCAGCTCCATGGGGGGAGGGGGTAATTACTACCGCCAACCTTAGGGCACTCACCTGCTGCTGCCTGTGGGTGCTGTGGGTGCTGGACTGGGCTGGCAGCTGGATGGCTAGGAGGGCCTCCATGTTGTGGTCCACCCTGCTGTGCCTGGCCTGTAGGCGTGGCAGAGGGCTGAGGGTGCTGCGGGTGAGGGTGCAAGGTGGCACTAGGGTGGGGGTACTGCTGAGGCATTGGCCCTGGAGACACTGAAACAGCAGTCGGCGTTAGTAATAGTGAAAAGCATTAAAAATCAAACCCCGTGCATTGGCCGCACACGTACCATACATGGTGTGTGTCTGCTCTGGGTACTGTGTAGTAGAGGAAGAGACGAGACTGGGCTGGCCATGCGTGGGAGGCGCCATCATCCTGGCACTGCCCTGCATCACTGGACTGAACACATGCTGTGCCTGAAAGAGGCAAAAAGGAAGCCAAAAAACTGAGGAAAGCCTCTATCAACTCCTGCCGTCACAGTTTTGGTAACTGAGTGCCAATTTAGAGAGCCAACATTTGTTCAGAGGCTGCACATGAAATATGGACATAAACACTTTTTTGTGCTTCTGATGCATCTGTTCAGAGAAAGGAAGCTTATTTCTTTCTTGGTTTATACTTTTTTGTAATCATTAGTTAGCCGACTTGCATTTCTTAACACCAGCTCAATTTGTAAGCGCTGTGATGAAACTGAAAGAGAAAAAAAAATGGCTTCTATGGTCTCACTCTGTGGTTCTGGCATATCACATGAACTGTGGTCTGATAAAATCTACAGTAATGCATTCTATGTTCATAGGTTGCATAAAACATTCTCACAAGCTTTCATTTAAAGAGCCTGTGTGTGAGATCATGTTTGTCTGTCTCATCCCAAAGCTGGCCATCTTCACTCAATTTAATTGGCACTGACGATCAAAGTGACATAAGGTTCATTATTTTTGGGGCATCAATGATTATGTGCGTACGATGTGTGTTCGATATGTCCTGAAAAATGCTTCCTTAAAGAATTATGTATTTAAGAGGCCAAATCCTTTCATGACTGTGTTAAAGAAAAATGCAACATTCATGAGGTTTAACTTATTTTCTTACATTTATTTACCTATTTTACATTTCACAACTTAACAGTCATTGTGGTATTGGCATCAAGCCTCAGATATCTTTTTGTCAATACCATCTACTATTCATTAGTAATCAACATAAAAAAATATAAATGTGTGCTTTGAGTAGGCTCTGCTCCAAAAAGTGCTTGAGCCTAGCTGTTTGTATTACTGAGGATTTTCCAGGATTTTTTAAGTCACTGCAGTAAAAGCTGCAGTTTTTCCAATGACAGCCTGTAGCAAACAGGCAGTAACTCTTCAGGTATAAGAAGCAGGAGTACACTTTGAGCTCAATAAATCAGAGGTGATAAAAAAACAAAAACAAAAAAAACTGGCATGACATTGGCACCCCATCAAACTGCTAAAGATCACCAGCATCTGTCAGCCAAATCACCGACAAGTGAACAGCTGCGGGAGATAAAAACTGCCAGTTCTAATTGATGGTACCAGAGAAACTTTAATGGTTACATACGAGTCTTAATAGACGAGCCTGTTCAATCTATCCTTCCTCAATGAGCTGCTAAAGGCTGTATAGTTGTGATACTGCTGGTGCCAGAGTAAATCATACCTGTGACTGGTAGTGAGGCATCTGCTGGACGAGCTGCTGACTGGTGAACTGCTGTGGGCTGCAGGTGAAGTACTGCGCTGAGTAAGCCGGGCTCGGTGCTACAATCGGTGGCCCTGCTGCTGTGGCTGGGTGCATCATGGTGGGTGTGCCTGGCGGATGGTGCTGGTCTGACCTCTGCTGGGGCATGTTGGGTACTAGAGATTTATGTTAAGAGATGGGCAAGATGGAGAATAAGTTCAACATCCCATATCACACATATATATATACCAACTCTAGAGGCTTTGGTGAGAGAGAAGGGTCATTGGCTATGAAAGACACTAGTAAAGTCTATATGTGAGGGGGAGAAGAAAAAAAACACAAGCAACTGATCATATTATGAGCCATATTTAAACTTACTGAAAGATAATAAAGATTGGCCAGATCAGAAATTAAAAACAAAATCCTGAAGCCTCTCTCTTGTAAAAGCAAACTACAAAAATACTTGCACAACAGCATTTCTGTACTTGCGTAATAATTGCAGGTCGGTAAGCGTGTGTGGTAAAACAACATATACAACATCAGTGGTTTTTGGTGTCCCGCATAGTGAGAAGAATATACAACATTCTTTAAATGATTGTATAGCGATTGCTGTTGTTGCACGTTTGATTTTGTGTGGGCAAAGCAGCTCAATCCCCCACATGAATAATCAACGTAATTAATCAACCAATCCATCACACTTCATGTAAGACTGGGGAATTATTTTCAGCTTTCATTATTCCCAGCTCCTCATCATGATATTGAGTGACTGGTAATATTTCAGATTGCAGGCTCCTGCGTGGTGTGCTTCTGCAGGAAGCCCTCTCTTTGTTTTTTACCCCATTAGGAATTTATTTACTCCACCAACAAGACATTTTAATTCAACCGTTTTGTAAAAAAATGCCACAACAATGCCACATTGTAAACAATGTTTGGGATGACTCTGAAAACAAGCTTATTATCACATACTGTCCAAATAGCTGGTTAAAAATATTTATGTATTCACATGGTTTGTAAATATTGTTCACCAATTTGAAAAAAAGATTATGTGGGAGGGAAATGAGAGAAAGAAAGCGGTGGTTATTCTCACCTTTACCTGGTCTGTAGGGTTTAGATTGGCTCACTGTCATAGGCATCTGAACCTGGTACATGGGAGACTGGAGAGAGGTGAGGAACGAGGAAAGGTAGGGAAAAACAAAAAATAAAAAACATGTTTATACTCAATTTTCTGTGAGATTTCCAACAAGATTATAAAACAGACAGTCTGAGGATAAACATGGGTGCATCTATGCTCATTTGTCTGGGAACCTTAATAACAATCTGGCTGCAGATAAACTTTTCATCTTCTTTTTGTCTAACACAAACAGCTTACTAGAATGTAAGAGCTTGTGGGAGTCATCGCTTACCTGGGGCCACATGCACTTTCTACACCTGACTATCATGAGCCAAAAAGGTGTTTTTACAGCATTCATAATACTGTTTTTTCAGTTCCTGAACTCATTAACATTGTCCACCATGCATTTGTGTTACAAACACCCCTTCAGCAAAAACAAGCTAGCTTAAACTCATTTTAGCTTGCAGCCATTTGTTTGGAAAACAGATGGAACAAAGGGAAATGAGCACAGTTTTAAGTCCATCTGAAGAATTGCAATAAGAAGTTGGCAAACCAACATCTGATGATATTAATTCAACAAGCAAGCAAAACATCCCAGTACTTATTGGGCTTAAAAAATAAAATAAAAATAATACAAAAAAAAGTTTTTAAAAATAGAAATCTTAGAAAAATTCACAAACCTTCCATATTATGCTTTTCTAATGGAGCGAGAGAGAGAGAGGGGAGGAGGAGGGGGAGAAAAGGGAAGAAGAACCACTTTTTAGTTGTTATCGTTTGCACGTGTCTGATGTTGGATCACCAAGTTTTTCTTAAAGCAACATAAGAAATGTATTGATCACAGCTACATATATGCAACATCAAAATTATATCTATACTAAACTTCTAAAAAAAAAGCTTTGACTAAACATTTCTAAGCTTGTTATGCAAATAATCACCTAAACATTTCTCAGTTCATTCTGTAAGAAAACCATGTAACTAACACCTTCTCAAAAGAAGACAGGGAACAACATGTCATGGGGAGGGGGACCTTTTTCCCCCCTAATGCTTCTTCTGCTACATGGAGGGAAAAAGTTTACAATGAAACAAATGACAACAAATGTGAGCTTTGTCCTTAAAAACATAAAATACACTGAGAAAATAATGATGGCAGGCATGAATCAAAGAAAAGGAAAGAAAATTACCACGTGAGGACAAACATAGACATGTTAGTCACTGTTGTTAGGGGTTGGTCTGAATGAACCCTGCATTTCATACCAACACAGTGTGATGCTCTGGGTGATTTGCACTGAATAAAAATGAATATCTCCATAATGTACATTTCAGTATGCAGGTGTGTATCTCACCTGAACTCCAGGGCTGACTGGCGTCAGCGGATACATCTGGGGGAAACAGACTGTCTGGCCATAAACAGTTGGAGGTTGCTGGACCACGATGGAGGGGCTGGGCTGGCCTTGAGGCCGGGGAGGCGTTGGGGTGTTGGCTGGTTTGGGCTGAGGGAAAATACAAAGAAAAACAAAAGCATATAGAGACATAAATAAATTAAATACCAGACCTAGTTTTTGGTTTCCAAATGTTTTAAGCTTGGCAGAAGTGGGTTATAACTTACCTGTGTATTAAACCTGGGTTTGAACTCATTAGCATTTGGGTTCAGGGTTGATTTTCTCACTTGACTGCAGAGAGAGAACAAATAGAGAAAAGGAATGAAAAGGAAGAATTTGTTTCTGAAGCTACTTAAACTTCATTAAATTGTGTTTCTTTAAATTAATAAATATTTATCATTAAATAATTTGTTGTTGGTTTTGGACAGTAATAAATCCCTACTGTGCATTATAGTAAACTGACTACAGACCACACAAAATGCAATAAAGTCATTTTTGGTTTTCTCGTGGAATGGGTCTCCTGTCCACTCACTCCTGCACTGCTTCTTTTTTCTCCTCCTTCTCTTCATGCTTGGGTCCGCTGAACGTTGAGGTGGCCGTCGTCTGAACTCCCTGTGACGTCACATCAAGCCCTGGCCTCTTCTGGTCAGTAGCAGAGGGAGACTGAGACATTGCAGCGGGGCTGCCAGGCTTACTGGTGCTTGTGGTGGTAGTCGGTGGAGCATGGGTACCACTAGGTGTGCCAGCAGCAATTACTACAACACCATCTTCAGTGGCCTCCCTCCCCACTGTGGAGGCTTTGTCCAGGGGAAGATCTTTAGGTTTGTCTGCAGGGTCTCTAGCAGACTTGGTCATCACTGGTTCACAGGGAGGGTCTGGGTTGGAACTAGACTGCAACTGGCAGAGGGACAGAGGAAAGATGAGTGGAAGAGGGGCACAACCTCAACCTCTGCTAAAGCCTCACAAACATGAGATGAGATCAGTCATATCTTAGCAATTTGTATGTCATATAAATTCAAGATATACTTACCCTAAAATCTACACTAAATTTCTTTAAATTATCTATTTGTTTTCTGTGGTCTGATGGTATAGAAGGCGGTCCTGCAAAGTGAATGGAGAGAAATAAATGTAGATTCTGGAAATATCAATTTTTAAGACATTGTTACATTACGACTACTAAAGAAAGGAACAGATGAGAAACCCTCGTACTCATGTTTAAAATTGTATTGCTTCTCAACATTCTGAGGTTAAAAAGAACAAGTTAATGCAAATTTCTAGTGTTTACCAACCTTTACAAACTTGTCTTGTAAAACTAGGTGAACTTTCCAAAGGCTTGATGTTCTCCTTGTTTGTAGGAGATGTTTGTCTAGTCTCCTGGGCACGACATTCTTTTGCTAAACATACAAAAGAAGAACGTTTACTTACTCCCATCAAAATGATTTAATGATAGCTTTTTCTGATTGTAGCACTTATTTATTCATTATAAAAACCAACAGACGTGTTTTCATATCACTATTCATACTCAGTCCTTTGTTAAACTTCAGCTTACCATCTCCTGATGAAGAAGTGACTATGCTGGGGGCAGGGCTAGCTGCAGTAGGAGAGGAAGCTGATGTTGGAGTAGTAACAGTTTCCACAGGAGCTGTACCTGTCTGAGGTGATGGGAGGGAAGAGGAGCCAGCTGAAGCTCCACCCATACTATTCTGTCGGGGGGAGCGAGGTCTGTGAGCTGAGAAGGGGAGAAGAATTTGGTGTTCACAACACATTCAGGTTAAATAACAAACAATAACAGGTGCTTTGAAATATGCCCTCCAGTGGCATTAAACTAAAATCTCTGCAAAGGGAGAAAAATACTGGACTAGTAGGTTCACCATTGGGATGCATTTAAAAATCCTATGTTGCCTTGTTCTCAAGTTACATTGCATTCACAAGCTTTGGTGTCCACACTACCTGCCCACCCAGCAGGGTGACAATATCCCATCAGCCTTTTATGGCTGAGGGGTACAAACTATTCAGATTAATAGTCTACCTCCGCTAACCACTGAGGACCATGTCCCTCCAGAGGAAGAGCTGCTCCTGGTTTGTGGAGTCACTATGGACTCTCCAGGGGGATTATGGGAAATTAAGTCCACTCCTTGGGGTACTCCACTGGTCCGACAGGGTGGCACTCTGTGAGCACGAGGCGTCCGCTGAGATTTTGGAGACATCCTTGGTGGACCTAGAGATGTATAAAGACAGAGGCAAATGGATAGAAGCTGGTAAACACACAGTGACAGCAAAGTGAACATGTGTTTCCTAGCATCCCTCTGTTAATTGTTTTTTGTTTTTTAACTCACCAGTGCCTCACAAAAACTTTCAAAAACTCAAGTCTACATGCTGATAAATATCACACCAAACAGTAAGGTTATTTGTTGCATGCATGCTAGTGGAGAAATTACAGATGATCCTGTAAAGTGATCAAACACCACATCACAACCAAGCAAAGTGAGAGATGAGAAATGGGAAAGCAAAGGCCAAAAAGTGAGATGAACAGTGGCCTACAGTAACAGCATATTAAAAAAATAATGAGGCCAAACACTAGTTAACAATTTTTCTATTCAAGTAAAAATAATTGACGTCAAGAGATTAAGCCTCACTACCAGTTTTTTGGGGGCTTTTTTTGGAGGAACTCTGGAAATTGACGGATCACATTTCTGGTCAACAGTTCGTATCCCAATGGAGTGGAATACAGAGAAGACTTTTAAAAACCGCATGTGAAACTTAACTGGTATTACAACCACTTATCAAATTTGTCAATTCAAATATCTCTGAGCATCTTTCTCATGCCTCAAACATCAAGCCTTTTTTTTTTTTTTTTAAATTAGAATATCATCGTGCACCTTCTTTTGAATGATCTACCAGAGAAGTTGATAAATTGGTGCCTTAAGTGTTACCACACCCAAAGCATGGCACACATTGGTGCACCCACATGCCAAGGTGAAACTGCCTGATGTACTGACAGAGAATCAGAGTTTTTCAAATCTGATCCCAACTCAGTCTGACCAAGCAATTTCTCCTATTTCTGCTGTTCCACACTAGACCTGGGCAAACTTATTTTTCAAATAAAACTGATCGCCATCAATTTTGAAATATTTCACATTTCTTTGTGACTTAAATCCCTCCACCTTCAACTCGTGTTTTTTGCCCAGGTCTACTCCACAGAGATGTGGGTACCTTCTGAAGACATGCGTTTGGCCAGAGCGGAGGCTGGCGATGTGGGCCCATGGTGGGAAAGGGAGGATGAAGAGGAGGGATAAGAGAGGTGGGATGAATGAGAGGAAGGTCTGGAAGGTCGAGAGGGGGGCCTGGAAGGTGGCCTGGTGGGCGTGGTTGCCCGATGAGGCAGGGAGGAGGGACCGGACTGGTAACGAGAAGGGGGACGGGAGGAAGGAGATGGACAGGGTGAGGGCCAATGGGATGAACCTAAAAGAGGCAAGGACAAATGATCAAGGATGACACAAGCTATAGTGCAGGGGAAACAAAGGTATAGTGGGGACAGAAAGAAGAGAGAAATTTAATTAAAAAAAAAAAAAAAAATGACAAGGGATGGGGAAACAGGAAAAAAATTGCTTAAATAAAAATAAACTAACAAGATAACACAAGAATAACCCAAACACTTTGCCACTGCAAAAGAACTTATTTCGAGTCGTGGTTTGATCACAACAGTGACTCACTCATCCACTCCTTTACTCTCACAAAGACTGTGTTTGATTTGCAGCAAGTAACAGCAGATTTGTAGGTGACATATTAAATATACCTCCATTAACCACCCTCTGGTCGGATCCAGAACTGGGACTGTAGTCGTGGGGTCCTGGTCGAGGAGTGGGGGGTCCAGCTGAGCTCTGACCAAGACGAGGTGAATTCTGACGCCCTGGCCCCCATGACATTGCCTCCCTGTTTCTCTGACCAGGAGGAATGTACTTGTTCTCTCTACAAACATACAAACAGACTTAACTCAGCTAAACATATACACAAGGCAATAATAAAGATGAGCAATTAATTCTATACTTTATTCCATTCCAGTAAGTGGTCATTAGCTAAAATGAGCTTATTTTTTAATTTTAATTACCAGTTATAGGAAGTATTTGTTATAGGAACATTTGCTGTCTACTTGTCTAGTAGGCTTAAATATTCCTCCCAAAGAACAGGAAAAGGGGCAATAGAGTTCTACATGCAGCACAAGAAGCATTAGAAAAAAACCGACAGAAAACAAACTCCACAAAGATTTTTTTTTTTTTTTTAAAAAGGCACTAACAGCAGTAGTAGTAGGCCCTGTTCAAAATTTTTAACACTCAGTTTAGAAGTTCTTTGTGTATTATGACTTTGTGTTCTTCACTGCCAGTGCAAAGCCAAATGAGCAAGAGAAGCATAAACTAAAGCAACAGTTTTATTTCAGTGCCCCCTGGTGACAGCACACAGCTACAACACAGATGATTGTATGCAAAGCTCAGCAGTATCCTTTTCCAGCTCCTCTTAAATTCTTATAACAATAAATTGTGAATAATGCGAGTTCTAACAACTCCACAGAATGCATCAAGAGGCAATAAAAATTGAAAATCGTTCAAATATGTTTACGAACACAATTACATTTACATAATTGCAAAGTGTACACAAAATGTATTCACAGAAACACGTAGTATTTTTGTAAAAACTCATATCCTGGCACCACCTGCCAAGTGTGTGAGTCTCCCTTTCCCCTCGCACAACAGCAGTGAATTTCTCCTCGTCAGTCCGTTCATCATTCTCCAGAGCAACGCGGGCCTTGTACGTGGCACTAGCCTCGATCTCCTCTGCCAGCTGGGCAGCACGCGCCTCCCTCTTCAAGAACTCTTCTGAGTTGTCCCTCTCTAAAGGTACCCTGGGAAATAAATTCAGGTTAGACAAGGAGTAACATGGGACAGCATGGTTCTAAGTCTTTAATTTTATAATAAAACCAGATTAAAGAGTGAACGTTTGTTTACTGTCAGAGATTCAAAATTAAACATATCTAGTATGACAAGTATACAAACAAATACATGGAGAACATGAAGAAGCTTACGTATATGTGGACAGGCTGCTGTCATATGTGGACAAGACTCCATATTTCTCCTCATTGTACTTGAACATGTCATTGGGATCCCACCCATTAGACTGATGTGAAAACAGTAGCAGAGACAGAATTTGACAATCAGCATGTGAACAAATTTAAATGCTCTGGATCACATGAAACAAACTCTTTGTTTCGGTTGAATATATAGCAAGTTTAGCACCAGCCTGTTTCTGGTGTCTGATACTTTTCTCACCACATCAGTATCCAGAGACTCGAGGCTATCAGAGTTGTGGGTCTCTCCTCCATCCCAGGGCTCAAGATCTTTTTCTTTATGCTCGCCATTGATCCGGCCAGTCACTGCTGCATCTGTGAAGTTGTCTGAAACATGAAGAAAAGAATGTATATATTTATGTACTGCATGATACCACACACACGCATGCACGCACGCAGGCTCCACTCTCACTGCTTAGAAAACAAAGTGCTCATCATGCTTCAAGAGCCTCTGAGAGAGTTCTTACAGCAAACGTCTATATGGAGAGTTTGACGGTTCAGAAAGACACACCGAGTTACATCCAAACACAGGTTCAACAGGATTTTTTTTTGGGGGGGGGGGGGTTCCTTTCCCAAAAAAAAAAAAAAAAGCAATTTTCTTGAGCTGGCATTGGTGAGTCTGGAAGTGTGGGCAAGACTTGTGAATAAAGGGAGAGTCCTGAATCACTGTCAGAGTATGTAGCATAATGTCTCTAGGTGCTACAGTATTTTCAGATGGCTCACTTTTATCAGAAATTAAATCCAGCTACGAGCAGTGTCTACAATGCTTGACTTGCACCCTATTTATTAAGAATCACCATAGCAACATCTTGAAAGGGAGCACATTAATTAAACAATTTACTTTGGGCTAATTGCGGTTTCAGGATGTTCATTATTTTTATGTAAATGTATGGAATACATTGACTCAACAAAGTCATAAACAGACAGATCTGCTCAAAGAAAACCCCCAATTATAACTGAATTGAAATTCTAATCTCATGTTAGCCCAAGTCTGCTCTCACATTTGCAGATCTGGCACCAGTGAACTATGTGCTCAAAGCATACCAGCCACCTGGAGTTGCTTATCTCACATGTCATAACTCATTTCACAATACAAAAGGCATTTAAGCGTTTCAGGCATAGAGCAAGTTCAGAAACATTAGACTGACACCATACGGGCAGTTGGGCCAATAGACCTGGTTTATATTTCCAGTGTTTGCTGGCATGCTTTGTGCACACTGTCCACCAAAGGAATTATACAAAGTAAGAAAAATTTTAAAATCAAACGTGAGAATAGTGAGAGGTAAGCAAACATGCATTTAGACTGCAGTTAATTACATGACCTCAAAGCATTTCAGTGCCAAACAAAATTAAACTTCTCCTAATAACCTTTTAAAAACAATGCTCAGAAAACAAATGATGTAAGAGAGCCCAATATGACTTTTGAATCAGTTGCTTTCAATGGAATCACATTAATGTTGCTGATAATCTACCATTTAAGTGTGACATGACTCGAGCAAGGCCAAGAAAGGTTTAAAAAACAAACAAACTGATGTTTAGGAAAAATCCTATAAAAGATAAACTAAACAAAAGCAATAAACATTACCTTCTTCTTATACAAGTCACTGCTTCATCATTGCCACTTCTTGTTGTTTATTTCCCCCCATCCTATTTTCTCTGGTTTTCACAATTTCTGTGATTTTTTATTTTATTTTAATACAAAGCACTTTGTAACCTTATTAACACAAATAAAGTTTATATTAGTATAAAAGAAATTACCCAAATGTATCCCATAGGCTGTATCAAAAGTTAAAACTGGATAATATTTAAAGACTCCAAAAATCAGCTTGAATGATTTTGAGGGAATAATTCTTCCACCGAAAGCAACATGCAGTCTGAAGACGCAGTTAAAAATATAAAGCAACACTGATCAGCAATACATATCTCATTTTTAGTTTTTGGGTGTATGAGAGCAGTGATCCTAAAACTTTGAGAATCATACTGGAATCAAAATGCAGTAACAATACATACAGCAAAAAAAAAAAAAATAGATCATCATGCCCAAATGTTCATAAACGTTACATTTCTAATTTAATATCTAATTTAACAGGTCTAACATAAGAGCACAGTACATATTTTTAAGAGCATACAAAGATGTGCAAAAGGAGAAAACAGCCATAGATTACCTGTGTCTGAGGAGACTAGACCATTGGAAAGGAGAGACACACAGATGACAGATAGTCAGAAGAATGACTGACAGATAAAATGACTGGCAATCACACCAACAGTTAAATTCATACCAGACATATTTATGATATGGTTCACCTAGATATAAGTTGTAAAGGTACTCAATTCTAACAATCTGAGCTTGGGTCAAGCCATGTCTAGTGCACTCCTCACATCCCATGATTTCAACTGATCACTTATTGAGCATTTCTTTAAAAAAAATAAAGGGGCAAGCAGACAAACATGGGTACTTTTGACATTTTATCTTTCTGTGTAAATTTCACTCACTTCACAAGTTGTTAAAGTGAAGTGGCATCATTGTAGTGCCATAGTTTCAAATCATGAAGCAAAACCCCTCACACCTTCATGCCTGTATATTTTCAGACAACAAAACTCTCCTGCAGAGTCAATTATCGTCCAAAGCAGAATCATATGGGTGTACATGAATTACATGAAGCAGGCTCCTTCAGCCTTTATTGAGTGTCCTTGTTGCACTAGAGCAACCTTTGGACCAATCGATAGATCAAATTAGACTTCAATGACTGGCCACTCTGAGCAGACACACAAGACTTAACTCACAGAAAAGCCTCTGCAACATCAAGATAGAGAAGACTGAGAAGGGTAATACATTGTATGTATGCAAAGATGGGAATTCACTGACATACGTTTATATTTTCGTATGTGTAAATGGACAGTGTGACAAACTCACCCAGTTAACATTGTCCATAGGTTTTCAATATGCGCATGATAACATCTCCAGTTTCAATAACTAAAAAAAAATCTTTGCCAAAAAATAAAAATATGACCACACTACCTTTCCTGGCGAAATTTAGATCCACATCTTTAAAGTTCACAACTACGACATCAGAAGCCTTGAAAATGATGCTCTCTACAATATCTTCTTTCCTGGGCCCTGTGCTCGGTTCTGTACTCTTTCGGTGGGCTGCATCCAACACCAGGTCACACTGAGGGAGAAAAATATCATTTGAAACACAGAGGGCAAAAAAACAAACAAAAAAAAAAACTATCTGCAAAAGACACAAGAAACTATGGACACAGGAGACTGGGACAATGCACTCTTTCATGCCCATCACACTCCACAGTAGCTAGAGACACAAAACAGCTATAAACAATCTCAAGAACAACCCTAAAACTAAAACATACTGAGAAATCTCAAGAGATCTGTTTTAAGCATCACAAGAAAGATATGTGGTGTATGGTTATGAATTAAAGCTCTGGAAAATTGTAGCAGGCTTCCTTTAACTATTAGTCAAATAAATCACTCATCACTCTTATCAATTAAACTACTTTGTGTAATCCTGGCATCAGCAGAAAACCTCAAATTTACTTATGATTATTACTTTTGGGAAATAATTCAGCCTAAAAGGGAAGGTAAATGCTCAAATATCAGAAAAAGCAATGCCGGTCTAAACCACCTTAGGGGTGAAACTAGTACCAAGTGTTAGCAAGACTCCATCACATTTAACCCTAATCATATTCAGCTAGTGAGAAAGTAACAGATTTCCCTCCATATTGGCACAATAAAGAATACCACATTATGCATGAGCCTTACCTCTGGGCCATAGGTCTTAAATACTCCCTCATAGATGGCTCCATTTTTCACTTTAAGCTCACACTTGGTCCCCTACAATTAAAGAGGCTTGTCGTTATATACGGTATGTGCCTTTCAGTACAAATTTTAACTTACATGTTCAAAAATATAAGTTCAGAAACCCATTTTTCTGCAAGGCAAACCATTGATTGATCAATCACTCGTTTCCTTTTATGCAACCAGCTGTCTCTACAACAGGCTTTGTTTAATGCTGTATAAACAATTTGAAGAAACAGCATATGGTAAAACAGACTGCAGTAAATAATGTTCTTACTAACTCACTTAGAGTAAGCATGATTCACATGGCTACTTCATCCAAGGAATTTTGCAACTATGCATATTCTTATAATCATTACACACAGAAAAAAAAAAGGAACAAGGTAGGCACACAGTAAACGTACCACCACTGAAGTCAAGACATGGACCATCCTCATATTTGCATATACACCATTGAAAATGACCTAAAGAAAAGATACAATTAATTTTGATGCTCCCATTTTGAGCACAAAAAAAGATGCCAAATAATGTCTCATCACTGTGGAATACCAATACACTTGTTCCATTCTTAATGCAATTAAAAAGGCGATATCTGGATTTATGCTTTCTCTGGCATTAAAATGCTTTAAAAAGAGGAAACCAAGAAAAAGAAGTGTTAAAGCATTGTGAGGGTTTTTCCTGCATAAGATAAATTCTGGTGCCCACCAATGACATGCCTCAAGAGGAAAAAAACACCATCACTATGTTCAAAAATCTGTATTTTTTTTTTATTTTATTTTTTTTTTTAAGTTTTTTAAAATACTCAAGCTTGAAGGTAATTTTGTTTCTCAAATGTATATGAAAAATAACAGGTTACTCACTGCTGCTGGACCTTTGCCACTGTGTCTCCCCCTGAGGGACAGAAAAAAAAAAAAAAAATCGCATTTTGATTAAATTGTTGTCAAATTCACCATCAACTGTAAAAAATAAAATAAATAAAGACTTGACTTAGCACATGCGCTGATATGTGCAACTCACTAAGAGAAATCATAAGAGGCAGTGATTAAGATGATACAGAAGTGCACTTGAAGTTAATCAATACAAGCTATATAATTTGCTTTAACCTTAACCTCATTTCTAAAATATACTTTCACAGCATACTGCAAGTATCTGCATATTACAATCACTTGTAGCAAACTACAGAGAACCAGGTTTAAGAATACATGAGGGTCTTATAATGATGCTTTACTGAGATTATGACTGAAGAGGACATGTGAAATGTTTGCAGCTGCAGACATGAAAATGAAATCACTTTGGTTTTATCAAGTATAAGATTTATTACCATCACTATCGATTTCAGCTGTGGAGACATCACCACAACCATCAACACAGCCCTCTTACTTGATCAATTGTTTAAATTGTGGACATTGACTTCATATTTAAGATCGACAGAATTGCTCTTGCAGATCACATTTCCAATGTGCAATGTAAATTCTGAAATTTCCCCAGTGTCTCCAAAACATTATGCTTATAATAATGATGTTTGTGATGCAATCTAGCCAAACACTCAGCCGCTAAGAGTTTTCCCAGGCATGTCCTAAAATGCACCTTGTTCAGCAGCTGGCACATAACCAACCATTCAACGTAAGCAATGGCCACTAACCCCTATATTATATCCGTTGCAGTAAATCAGCCCTAAGCTTTCTAAAACACACTTAGCCATGCCATTTTGAGCTGTAATGTGCAGGTTTTGTGAGCATGGTTATAAACTGGACCAATATTCATTTATAGCATCTTCACGATGAATCCTATGCAGTGAAAGGGGAGTGCTGTCCTAGTGACCGGTGAACAGCAGCCTGACCACCAAAAATCACAGCATGCATGCTGTTCATGCACTGACAGTGTGCTTTATCTTCATCTTGGGACGACGTGTAGAGAGAAAGTCATGCCTCAAGGACACTATTTCTCACGAACAGCAATGGCAACGTCAAGGTTGAAAGCCAGTCGGTCTGTAATACCCCCGTTTCCACACCCGCCCCTTTCTTCTGAGCGCCCACACGCTTTATATCCATTTCCTGGCAACCCCGTTGCAGCAATGTTGCGGTAACGTACCAAGCTACATGGCAGCCAAAAGACAACAAATGCCGTTGCGTGTCCCCCATTAGCCAACGGTTACAAAACTGAAATGCAAGCATAGGCTGGCAATTGGCTAATTAACGCTAGCTGACTTGGCTTCAAGCTTAGAGTAAACTGATACCAGCAACTTGGCAAGCAGCGTCACTAGTACTACACTCATGTGAGGAAAGATAAATGTCCACCCGAACATGTATTTATGGAAAATCAACCTCGTGGTGGCATGTTTGATTTAACGTGCCAGAGAAGATAATGTCACGTCGAAAGTTGCAACAGCACTGGACCAAGCAGACAGGCAGGCCTCGCTAGCTGAACTGCACAACTGGCTGACCAACACGTCGCAAGGCCCGCACAACGTTCACAAACACGCACTAGTTTTGGACCACTTAACGGCAATGTCATCTCTTACAACCGCTACCGTTTGGCAGTGACTATGGCCAAATATCGAAAACGTGTCAAACCAACCCTCCTTGCTGTGTTTTTGCTTCGCTATGTTAACGTTCTAATTTCACATACCTGCCCAGATTCTGTCTTCCCCCGCCGCTTCCTCCGGCACCGGAGGCGGCGGCGGCACCGGCGGTGCTACCACCGCCGGGCTTGCTGCGATTTCCACCGGCCTTCATTGACATGGTGATCCCATAAAAGACAGCGTCTTTAACAGACCAGTTTCACGCCGCAATTTCTTGACGATGAGACGGTGTGCGGTACCTCACTAACGTTGGGCAATCCGAAGACCTAGCTTAGCCAGCAGGCTAAAGTCAACGTGCCTGTTCAGGAGGATGCTTTGCTAAGCAGCTAGCCTGGCTAACAGTTGCTAGCTAAATTAGCGACCTGTACAATTCCTATTAAAACTGAAAAAAAATATATTTAAAAAAAGACAACACGCTCTAGTAACTTTTCCGAAATGAACATGTGTGTTACACCTCTTGTCAATTTGTTATATAATTATTATCTCAAAATCGGGTTTGCAGCTATCTCGGATTCTTTCCGTTGCTAACAGCGAAAAGACCAAAACAGCCTGAAAGGGGGACAAAAACAGCGGAGGGATATGAGAGGCGTGACGGCTCGCAACACTTCACTCTATATTTTTATACGCTGTGTTATTTGAAAACTATTGATCTTGTAAACAGATGAACATGACCATCTTTAACGTAAAAACCCAATGCAGACATTTGTGTTAAAAGAGACACAGTTACATCATGGCACTATTTTCAGGAAGTCCATGAATTTTCAATTACAATGTAGTGTCATCCACGTGAGCCGGCGAACTCACTACTAACATACACACAAACACACACACACGGCGCGTGTGGGCATAGTGATGGCTAGTATCCACTGAAGCATGAAGGTTTCCAATTAGCAGGATTGGAGGGTCACTTTGAGATAGTCCCATTTTTCGTTAATAACTGGTGTAACTTCCACAATCTTGATATGACAAGACAGCTGTACAAAGAGGATTCCAGTCTAGTAAACTAAACTAAAACAAAGTAAGGATAAAAAAAGTTTCATCAAATAAAAAACAAAGTAAAATAAAATAAATAAATGGACCTAGAAAACTAACTAGTAGGGCTAAGGGGTGTGTCACAACTCTGTTGCTTGTGAAGCTCGCACACAAGAATTTCACTCGCATGTGCTGTGACAATAAAAGTGATTTGATTTGATTTGAGAAGAGGGGCATTGGGTGGCACCAATCCCCCTAAGATCTTATGTAACAAGTCTAAATACTTTTTCCCACTTTGCAAAACATTTATACAGTGCGTGATTGTGCTTAAATTCTTGTGCAGCATCACTTTATACAAAACAAATCTGCAATAGGAATCTATGGAACGCCAGGACTGCCATAATGAATTAATTAAATACACCATTAAATAATTAATTAAATGTGGCAATAATTAATTAAAATTGGAATTAATTAATTAAATAAATAGTTATGACACATGTAATTAATTAATTATTGACACATTTAATTAATTATTTATGTATTTCACATTTTAATTAATTATTGACACATGTAATTAATTAATTATTGACACATTTAATTAATTATTTATGTATTTCACATTTTAATTAATTATTGACACATTTAATTAATTATTGACACATTTAATTAATTATTTAATGATATATTTATTTATTTCATTTTGGCAGTCCTGACGCCTGGCTCTCGTCATGAAATAATTTATCTGTCAGCCTCACCCATCAAACTCAGGGGGCGGGGTTAACGCTGCCCATGCAGCTTCTCTAACATTTGATTGGTTGCCGTGCAAAGTAAGTCAAAACAGGTCGATCCTAGAAAATCGATTGCTTGTGTAGACTTGGGGCAGCCAGTTATCCCAGAATGCAGATCAAATCACAAGCAGCAATGGTGGTGGTGTAGTTTTAAAATACCCCGTTTTTCTGTCACCAGCTACACTTTTAACAGTGTTTTAGCCGCGAATGTCGCGACGTATGTCTGGTCAGGTTGTCAACATAGAACATGTTTGCAAAAGTGCTCAGATGTTTTCAGAGATTTCACTAGCTCTGCTAACAGTTAGCATGCAGAGTGCACCGAGGGGGTTACGTTAACCGGTTTGTTTACATATTCCACTCTCCGTGTTCCACATGTTGCATTCGCAGATTCTCATTTTCACCGAACGATCGTCTCTTTCCGCCTGGTCTTGTGTCTCTGTGCTTCTGTAACATAAAGAACGAGCTGACATTTTTCTCACGAAACCAGCGATCAGCTCAACAGACCCTCAGTTTACCTGCATGCATCCTCCTCCTCATCTGTCAGCTGTTTAACACCTGCTGCCTAGTTACCTGGTGATAGTCACAGTTTAACTGGGCAGCCGGTGCTCGATATAACGCAATGTCAGCGCATTTTTCTGCACAAGATAAGTAAATATAGTGTTTTCCCCGAGCGCAGAGCTGCTGGAGCTCGTTTCCTTACAGAGCACTTTATAGGCGAACAGCTTTATCAGCGGCTGATGTCCAATCACCGGCACACAGCTTTGAAACCTCAGCTGAGTTTTAGCTCTCAGTGGTTAAACGCTGGACTTCATTCACTCAGGTTCTGTCTGTCGGGTCACGTTTACTTCGCTGTTTTATTTACAACTGAGCAAATCGGTTTGGCTGAGGTTAAAGTTACGTTTCATAACTGCATAGTTTCACAGACGTTTAATGGTTCACTGGCACATGTGTTAGACTGAACTATCATCTAAATATCATCTGTTTTTTAATAGTTATTCAACTGTATTCTAAGCACCAGCTGTCTGTTAGAATGTGATTTTTTTTCTCTCTCTGTTGGCAGAGGTATAAAAATGCGCAGGAAAATCTGACATGCATGGCGAACTTCACCGACGATATTTAGGGAGGAATAAACACACATCAAACATAAATGAACCATTTGTCTGTCTCCATAATTGAGAGAATTTTCTCTTCTTATGTCAACACTCTCTCTCTTTTTTTTTCTTTTTTTTTTCTTTTTCGGTCATGTTATGTTTACCTGTCAAAGGCTTGTTACAAACTATGAAACACATTGTGCAGACTTCTGGATGTTAGAAGAAAACTAATACTGCTCATGAATGAGACTAAAGGCAGGAAGGTGTCCTTTAAAACTAAACATGTTAATAGGACCTCCCTGTTTATATCATAGTTTATGATATAGCACGTGTATTTCAGTAATAGCCTGCTGAGGCCACTATACGTGCTGGCCTCATATCAAATGTGAAGGCAGACTGAGTCTATGTTTGACGTTTTTTATATCTAATCTTCCTTTTCAAACATTTAAACAGCAGCGAGTCTGCAGCTGAGGGAATACAAATTCAAATTGTCGGAACAGGTTTGCTCGTTTCTTGGATTCATTTGGTGATTTATTAAATGTATAACTGTTATTCTAATCTGCTGCTGAGTCTCTTACACTTTTCTTTATGCTGTATATTTTCACGTCTCTGGAATAGTTGGCAGTTAGATAGTCAGCTGGGAAACTTTGTGTTAACTCATGGAGCTGAGGATATCGTGGATATGCTGACCTCGCTGCGTGGTGTACAGAGCGAGGTCAGCATGATTAATATTCACAATAAAAATATTAGCCGAACATCATGAAGTCTGTATGTGTTTCATAGTGTCGAACAACCTTTGTACAGTTAAAGCCAGCAGTTACTACATGACGGAAACACCAACGTTATCTCTTTTATGTGTTTATACACAGGTCACGCTGATTACTGAACAAAAACCCAAAGATCAGATGTTAAACAGATTTATTTGCTCTCTCTCCTCCTTAAACATGTTTTTAATGTTAGTTATAATTCAGAATTGGCGACTGAAACACGTAGGACACATAAGAACATCAGGAAATAAAACATCGATAAATATAACCTCAGTAAAAGAAGTCAGCGGGGGTTACTACAGCTGTGTACCGGGGCCTGCGCTTTGTCGGTGGGATTGCTTGCGAGGCAAGCGGGTCTATCCCACGCTTTGCCGTGAGACTGGGCAGACATCTCCGAAATCATCGAAACACTTTTGCAAAGAGGCTGTATCTTGACAAACCGACCAGACACATGAAGATTAAACCACTACATTCTCGGCTAAAAAAATATTAAAACGGTATTTGGTAACACACAAACAGGGTTTTTCAAAGCTCAGTTCTGTTAGCTTCCACATGCCGGTTGTTGTGTGCTAGAAACAATGGCCACCAGGCCAAAGCAATGGTTTTGACTCGATCAGCGTTAACCCCGCCCCCTGAGTTTGATGGGTGAGGCTGACAGATAAAATTATTTCATGATGAGAGCCAGGCGTCAGGACTGCCAAAATGAAATAAATAAATATATCATTAAATAATTAATTAAATGTGTCAATAATTAATTAAAATGTGAAATACATAAATAATTAATTAAATGTGTCAATAATTAATTAATTAAATGTGTCAATAATTAATTAAAATGTGAAATACATAAATAATTAATTAAATGTGTCAATAATTAATTAATTACATGTGTCATAACTATTTATTTAATTAATTAATTCCAATTTTAATTAATTATTGCCACATTTAATTAATTATTTAATGGTGTATTTAATTAATTCATTATGGCAGTCCTGGCGTTCCATACTGGCGTTCCATACGGGCTGCCAGTGGAACTGAGTCAGACAAATAGTGCAAGACTGACTGGAATGTAAATGGATAATGACCCAAAGCTTACTGCAAAGGCAACCTAAAAGTTTCTCACAGCAAGAAATGTGATATTCTTCAGTGGCCAAGTTGGTCACCTGATTTCAATCTAACAGAGCATGCTTTTCACTTACTCAAGGGCAGAGCGACACAAACAAGGAGCAACTGGAGGTGGCTGCACTAATGTTTTTCATTTAAAATTTCCACAGTCAAATATTAAATATATTATTGAGAAAAGTTCAAAGGTTTGACCTGTTGGTCTAACATAATGAGTCACTGCATGAAGAAATATCAGGACTTTCTGTTCTATAATAATCAAAATATATTACTTCACAATTTATATGGAACTGAAACATATGTAAAGACCAACAATAAGAGATAAACATAGTCCTTTAAGTAGGTATTGATGGATACATTTGCCACTTTAATGTTGTAGCATGTGGATTAAATGAGATTCATAAATATTTATGTCATGTAAATTATTCAAATGGTATTAATATTGAAGCTATTATTGAAGATGTTATCCTGAACAAAGTGTATGCCTATCAAGTGCTATTTAGTGCTATTTTTCTGTTGTCTTCCTCTTTTGGATTTATTATGGTTGGCAAACATCTTTCAGCTGCATTACTACAATCTGAGCTGGACTGTGGCCCAAAGGTCTGCCATCTAACCATTCTCAAAAAAAGAAAAAGGGAGAATTGCAATGACCAGTATGACCTTTCCTTAATCTTGTCATAACACTTTAGTCTTTCCCATTTTGTCCTCCACAATGTGCGCCCAACTGATGGTTTAGTTAAAACAAGCAAATAAATAAAAACCCCACCCCAAAGCCCTGCTGTGATTACTTTGTTCCATATATTCTTCTTCATCTACCCGACACAGCAAAGAACCCACAGACAAACACATTT